ACTACTCCTTAACTGTTAAGGAGTTGAAATTCCATTTGGCCCTTTGAAGGCAACTACAAGGCTGATATGGCCCCCGGTGAAAGTGAGACACCCCTGCTCTAGAAGCTGGGCAATGAAGTTCTCTTGATTAAACTACCCAGTCCATGATGTGTTGTTAGAGCAGCCTGAGCTGAGGAAGACAGGAGAGGCATTAAGAGGTGATATGAAAACAGACTGTTCTGCCTCACAGTTCAATGGGAAGGAAAGGAAACAAGGGGGCACAGAGGAAGGGGGATTCTTAGGGGAGTCAGAAAATGCTCCCACCCTTTGCGACAGCTCGGATGGATCTGGAGAGCATTATGCTAAGTGAAATAAACCAGGCGGTGAGGGACAAATACCATACGATCTCACCTTTAACTAGAACCTAATCAACAAAACAAACAAACAAGCAAAATATAACCAAAAACATTGAAATTAAGAACAAACTGACAGTAACCAGAGGAGAGAGGGGATGGGATAACGGGGGAAAATGGTGAAGGATTTACAGGAACAAGTATAAAGGACAAATAGACAAAACCAAGGAAGGTGGGGGTGGCTTCTGTGGTGGGGAGGGATGGGGGAAAGGCAGAAAACTGTATTGGAACACCAATAAAATTCAAAGGTATTTAATAAAAAAGCATAAAAATAAAAAGTAAAAAAATAAAAGGAAAAAGTAAATGCAACACAGAAGAGGCAATATTTGAGATGGACCTTACATGATGAATAGGAGTTTGACAGAGAAAGAAGTGATAAACTGGATCAAAAAGAACAAAAACACTAAGTTGCAGGAAAACCTGGCATTTGAACCCTGTAGGAAACAAGATCGCGGGGTAAGTAGGCAGCTGGAGAATTGCAAAAGTGTTGGATAAGCCATTGCTCAAAATAAAAGGGGGTCTGATCTAAGAGTCGCTGAGCAACAACAAACTACGATGCCCATCAGCACAATTGTTCTGTTTTCTGAAGTCCTACTTAATAGAAACGAGAAAAACATTTTTTGGTGTAGGTTGGGCTGAACTAGTTCACAGGGAAATCTCAAGAGTGAGAGTATTAAAGATACTGGTGTGAACGTGCTTATGATTTTTTTGATTATTGGTACCTAAGCAAGATAATGAAAATATGGCTGGAGTGCGGGGGCGATGGGCTGAGAGAGTGAGCAGAACCAGAGTACGGTTCTCAAACTTTGGCCATACCCAAGGGGGCTGCTTAAAACACAGATGGATTGCTATAGGGTGGATATTCGACTGCACAACAAGATGTGTGAGTCATCGGTACAAAGAAGAGAGATAACCCTGAGTTTAATTCACTGCTTCCCTTTACTAACTGTGTGAACTTGAACAAATTACTTAATGCTGGCCCTCAATTTCCTCATCAAAAAGGCTTCTCTGTAATACATACTCTCTAGGATCACAATGAAGTAAACATTAACTGCGCACATGCTGGACCGTGGGACACCATGAAATGAAAAGGACAAGGCCATTCTGTCATGTGAAAGGCAGAAGAAAGCTGCCCTCCTTGAGTCAGTGGAGCAGTCCACCATACAACTATGAAACTTCCTCATTCTTGGGCAGGGTAGAAGCTAAAGGGCAGAAGGTGAAACTATGTTACTATTGGCAACTGCACACATGTTCTCTCTCCACACGAAAGCTGACTTTCCTGAACACAATTTGCAATTTGTGCAGAGATCTTTGCCCAGCTACTGCGTGGCCGCTAGAGTAACCGCGGAAGTCCATGAGTCATTCTCTCGTCTCAACCCAGCAGAGAGGCCCTGAAGGAACCGAGAGCGTGGCGAGAACTTCTCGTTTGCCTCGCTCGGACCAGAGCACCAGGACTCCACAGAGAATCAGAAAAGGGAACTCCAGGCAGATTTTATGCCGAAACTGAGCTGACTCGTATTTGGGCCCTTATCAAATTAAGAAAGGCAACAAGAGCATGTGAACCTTCAATAAATATTTTCCTATGAAACATATCTAGGCTAAAGAAAATTTCCAGAATTATTTGTAGAAGGACAAGCGTAGCAATGTTTAAGAGTTTAGAAATGTATGCTCCTCAGTTCTGATTGTGACATTATCTTTAACTTCCTATTTTTAAAAAGTCACTACTCTGTTGAAGTGTAAGCAGAGTCGATCCCAGGGTTTGTAAATTTGGTTTGGGTGCTGTCTCTCTCGTTATACCATCCCACAAATCAAAGGCAGAATTTAGAAGTTCCACCGTGGCTTCTTTGGAAAGCCTGTGCCTTGAGGTCAGCTAAAGTTAAAAAGTGATAAACTAAAATCTAGAATGTAAAGGAAGAGAAGAGAAGGACTTAAATATGGATATGGACAAAACATTCCCTTTGACCAAAGTTTAGTCAGATTTCTTGAAGCCCTGTTCTGGACGAGGCCTTGGTCTGGCTGCCTCTCCAGCCAAGCCAAATCTGCATAGACCTCTGCCAGTGAAAATCCTGCCAAGTCAGTTTAGAGAAATTCTCTCCCAGCCTTGCTATCTGATCACTCTCAATATCTGACCAAACTCCTAACCCCCACCCTCAACATCTGATCACTCGGGCCTGCTCCGAGTAATTTTTCCATCCACCCATTTTTCCCTCACTCCAACTCTACTCCTTGGTTATAAATCCCTAGCTGTCTATTGTATTCAGAACTGAGCACAGTTTATGCTGAGGTCTCTTTTCCCCTACTGCAATCATTTCTGAATGAAATCCATCTTAACTGCCTTAACCAGTGTCGGGCCCGGTTCTTGGATGATAACTGATACCTAATACATGTATACACATGGATCTGATGTTCAAAATAACAACATGGGCCCAGTGCCCACGTGATGACGTAGAAGTGTTAGTACACTTCCTAAGAGAGTAATTGGACACTCTATACTTGAGATCTCCAAAACACTTACACCTTATTATCCAGTAATTCTCTTTCTAGGAACCAATTCTACTAAATGTGGACTATGCTTTATGTATAAAGATATCCACAGCAGCATTATCTATAGTAAAGAAAAATTGAAAAAAATCTGAATATGCAACAATAATTGGTTATGTAAACTATGATGCATGAATCTGAGGAAGCGTTGTGCACCCCTCAAAATGTTTACGAAGTGTTGTAGGGACCAAAAACATACCTATGAAATGATGGTAAGTGGAGAGAAAAGGCAGCATAGAAAATAGCACAAAATCATGTCCTTATTTAATAAACACAACTCTGCATGTGTGACATAATCTGCATCAAAATCCATTGTAAAGCTACAGCAATACTTTTTATGGAGTCCTGATATATTTTTTTCCAAACATTTAGCTTATCTAAATGTACTGCTATAATATATAAAAATGTTCGATGTTAAATGTACTTGTGAAACGTGCATACTTATAACTAGGATATTTAAAGGGAAGTAATAATAATAGTTAATATGTATGGTACTTGCTGTGTGTCAGGGCACTTCCTAGGATTTCTCTTACAAATAATTTATCCATCCAATGAGGAGGTACCACAATATTGGTATCCCAATTTTACAGATAAGGAAGAAAAGGCCCAGAGCAGCGAAAAGTCCCAAGTCCTGCAGCCAGCACTTCGGTCTTGATTTGATCCCAGACCACTTAAAGAACTTGTGTGCGTAACAACCAGAAAGAGGATCTGCAATCAGACAGACCCTATGTTAACATCTTCCTGGTGCCACGCTCTTGGTCCAGTTATGTAACCTTCTTTGTCTCAGTATCATCAATTGTAGAGAAAATACATATGTCTCGGGAGCACAGCGAGATAATGAATACGACCAAAACCCAGGCTGGTGCTTGTCATCCCGACCCAGACTAGCATGGCCTCCATCACCATGTTCTTTTCATAAAAAGGGGTGCCTGATGCGGTGGGAGGGGTTACCCAAGGGCTACTTTGCTCTTCCCCACAACCCCAATATTTGAAGGTATGCTACTATGAAAGCAAGTCCTGGACAAAGGCCACTAATGGTCTAAACATTCATTAGCAAACAGTTACAAAAACTGCCCTGCTCTGTCCTCTGACACCCCAACCACACCACTGTAAGGAGGCTCTGGTGACACCCGTTCTGAAGTCGGGGTGGGGCGAGGGGGTGGGGGTCAAGGCTGGGGATAGGGGCCTGCCTCTGGACAGGGCTCTAGAGAGCTGTGCTGGGCTGCTTCTCCACACCTGATTTTTGCAATGGCAGGAGGCATGCTCAATTTTCCTTCAAACCATCCATCTTGAATACTGCTCATTCTGCCAGAGGAAATCATTCCTGGATCTAATTAACTAACTCTAATGTCCATCTCCACAACCATCCCTGAAGTGCTAAAATCACCTTTGGAGTGAGGATTTCTGATTACGGTGCTTCAGAGTTCATTGTTCCTAGAGCGTGAATTAGAGTTAACTCATATACACCTAAAGCGGGTTTATCTCAAGTTATTATTGTGTGAAGTATTGTCACACAGACAATGTAACAGTGATGTGCTTGTTGTTCAGTTGATAAATACAATAGTCTTTCTCCCTCTTTGGAACCTTTATCTTTGTCCATTCCCACCCACCCATCAGCACCCTCAAGGAGCGGTGCCTAGAGGCTTTTGGAGCCTAAATATTTATAGATTCTAATCAGAGAGGAATTTATAGGGGAATAAGGGATTTACACCATTTCTCCCCCAAGAAATAAGAAAGCTCGCCATGTATTTAAAAGGACATATCTAGGTCAAGTTATGATGTTAACTAGATATTTCAACCACTGTGTGCTGATGAGTCCAAAAAACAAAGTTTTAAAAAGCATTTTTGCAAGGCATTTCTAGAAGTAAAAGATATGTTTTTATTTAACCAGCAGAACCTCTGTAAAAACCGAAACTGTTATTTCTGGAGATTTCCCCAAAACTCGGACTAAGCCGCAAAAAAATCTTGTGTTGTAATAGGTGCTGTGTCACTGAGAACCATTGAAAACAGATTAAAAGCAGGAAACCATATATGGAAAAGCCCATTTCTGTAATCTTGTCATTCAAGTTCCACTTTCTTAAAGCTGCAGTCGGCTGCGCTTTGTAAAACAGAGACAAGGAAGCACACTCAGAACCTGCAGCGGCTCCGAATTCCAGCCCCTGGACTTCACGTCAGAGTGACCAACTGGCCATGCGGGTCACCCTGGCTCTGACAGCCTGGGTGGCTTCTGTAGTCTCCAGTTATTCCTATTCAACAAATAGTTTGCCAGATATCGACAATGAAGCATTTATCAAAGACTGTGTTCATATGCATAACAAGTTTCGATCAGAGGTGAAGCCAAGAGCCAGTGATATGCTATACATGGTAAGCAAACTATCAGTGTCTGTGGCATAAGTCAGAAACAAACGCGTGCATACTGATTTGGGAGGCAAATCCCTGGTGACCCTGAGGGATTTTTTTCATCGTGATTTATGTGCTCAGTGAATTGACTGTCTGTGATCAAAGCAGACCTGTGTAGCTCTATCGGCACCTCAGCAAGTACATTGCCTTTCTGGTTTTGCACACTCCTGCTCCTCTGGCCGTGGACAGGCTTGCCCTCCTCTTTTTGTCCTTTTCTTCCCTTTAATTTTTGGGAGGGTTTTTTGTTTGTATTGTCTCTAAGCCTACTTTCTGTTTGCCGGCAGAGTACTGATTTTCTCAGGAAGACAGCAGAGTCTGGGGGAAAGATAAAGCTTTGATTCACTTAGGTTTGGGTCTGAGTCCCAGTTCTGTGGCCGTGAGCTGGTTTTTAACATTTCTGAGCTTCTTGAGATGTGAGGTGTCATGATTGTTAAATCTGATAAAATGTGGGAAACGGCACACAGTATTTTGCACACACAGGTAGGTATCCCTCGCTTTTCAAAACTTCTCCGTATGCCACTTGGCTTTTATGAAAGACCTACATTTGTACCTGTTTTCGCCAACTGAAAGAAACTTGGAGAGGGTGTTTGCCTTCATGGGGGAAAACAGTGAAATGCAAAAGTAATGCTCAGTGTTTGCTCACAGCCTTTGTAGAGGCAGCCACACCCCAGCAGCGAGAGCGTCCTGAGCTCCTTCCCGGAACCACCCTCAGTCTCTCTGCATCCAGCTGTCTCGCTTTGATCCGTGTCTGTGAACATCTGTTTTTCAGATCAATTTACTTTCTGCATCCATGAACAAGATGTGTCCTGAATTCACTGTTTTTTCGCTGTCCACAGTCTGGCTTACTAAAGGTTTCACAGTGTGCTCTACTTTCAGGGAATGAGGAAAACCTATAATAGACCCTCAATGAAATGTTGGTCTGTATTAATCACCTAGATTTTAAAATGCACAGAACCAGATGATCATGTTTCCTCCTAGCCCTGGTCATTACTTGAAGACCCGCTTAGGTAAAGGACCCTTGTGCAGTGGTGCCTTCACTGTTCTTGTCATCACCCACATTCCCCAAGTTCCCACTTGGCTCATTCTAGTTGTATTGTTGGATACCAGACAGGTTCCACTCTTGACCTTCTTGCTGCTTAATATTTATTTTTACAGACTTGGGACCCAGAACTAGCCCGGATTGCAAAAGCATGGGCAAGAAACTGTAAGTTTGCCCATAATGCACGGCTGGGGCCACCCCACAAGCTGCACTCAAATTTCACTTCTCTGGGAGAAAACATCTGGACTGGGACTCTCAGCATATTTTCTGTGTCTTCAGCTGTCACAAGCTGGTACAATGAAGTTCAATACTATGACTTCACGACTCGGAAATGCAGGAAGGTCTGTGGCCATTACACACAGGTAAGAATCTTCCCTATATTGTCTTGAAACGGTCTTTTCATGAGTGAGGAGAACACCAGAGCCTAGTGTTGAGAAAATATACAGGAAGCTAGTACATCTGTAAAAATGCAAGAGTCGGGATTACAGGCTTACTCTTGAAAATAAATAAGTGGAACAGACTGTAATACCAAATAAAATAGCAGTTGAAGAGTTTAGTTAAGTAGACATAGGTAAAATGTGAGGCCCACCAAGGTTTTGAATAGTTTTGATACCTGCTCTCTTCCTGTGGGCCTTTATTCCATTTGTGAGCAATCAAAGGACATTCTGAGTGGGTTTTCAAGTGTGAGTGCTCTATAAAATTTGAGGGAGTTATTTTGAAACTATAAAATTGGGAGAAATAAGCCTCCCAGACAGAAGTATCAATAAGAATCGATGCTTTCATATCCTCTTATTCTTCCAAAAATGGGTCGAGAACCTACCCAGTACCACAAAAAGAGAAAAGAAACCCACAGTCACGCCCCCACAGAGAGGCCGACATCTGACCCTGTACATACCACGATGTGGCTTTTCTTCCCCCAAAATTGATGATACCAGCCCCAAAACCAACCCAGAGCTTCCCACTGAGAATTTTTTTTTTACCTAAGCTTGTTTTAGCTTTTGAACCTTAACTCGGGTTGACAAATTATGGAAAGAAATCCTCAGGAAGCATTTTCTGAAGTCTTCTTGGTAGGCTACCTTCCTATCCTGAATGCATTTTGTTTCGTTGTTTTTTTTTAACTTTTATTTCCTAGCATTCTTTGTTAAACCAATAACTAAAGTTACTCAATCTATGTTTCACTGGTTTGAATGCACAAGAATGCGTTGAAATGAGGTACAATGGCAAAAACATTCTTAACAAGGCAGTTAACTTGGCACAGTAGGTGTTTTTAAAGAGCAAATGTTATTAGAAAAACTCTCAATACAGTTCAGCCTTATAAAGCCTTTGACTTCACTGCTAATATTACAGGTAAGATGAGTTTGGCAAAGTTACAAGAGATTATTTTGATGAGAAAGACAGGACTCATTCCACTGAAACTTTCATCTCAAAATGATTGTAAGCAAGGAGGAATTATGAAGCCATCAGTAACATTAGTCTGTATCTTGGAAATTTAAATAAGGTTCCCCTAGATTTATCCCATAAGCCATCAATTCTGGTTTATGTTTACCAATAAAATTAACCAGAAAATAAATTTTGTTGAGTTCCCATAAGTCCAAGAGGACAAGAAAGTGAAACCCAGATTGCCTGTTACAGTAGTACCTGCTAACATTATACATTCTAGTGTTTAAATCCTGAGAAACGGTCAGTTTGAGGATGCTGACTCTGATTCAGGCAGTGTTGAAGCTTCTCCCCTGCACCATGCACTAAGGCACTGGTCATGTGTATTAGTGCAGAGTCCTAAAACATAGAACCGGAGATCTCTTCTGTGGTAACACTGTATTGAATATAGTCACAGAGGAGTAGGAGTGAGGGGAATGCAGGGGTGAGCCAGGGACTGAGGGACAGAGCTGGGGATGGCCCTGACCGTTAGCAGTTGACTGTTTGGGAGAGACATACATGTAAATGGACATGTTATAATGCATGGCTAGCACAGTTTGGAGAAACTGACAAAGTACCATATGAGCAAAGGTGACAGCACAACTTATCCGGCCAAAGGGAGATATGGAGCCATAGGAGTTGTTCACACGGCAGGAAACAAAGGAGTCGGTTCTTGAAAACTGAGAGTTGGTCAAATGAAGAGGAAAGGGAAGGCAATGCCAGGCAAAATTAACAAGGTGTAGAAGACGTACCATGTGTAAAATTAGGATAGTACTTCAGCAGGGTGGCTAGTTGCTTAGCGCACCAAATAGGTAGAGCTCAAAAGGCTGTCAAATGGACAAAAGACTTAAACCATGCAAGTTAAGACACTCCATGTGTGTAATTCCATGAAGCCACACTTGATTCTATGTCATACAGGCCTGAGATTTTAGAAATGGCCCTCCCAAAGTGAGCTGAGCTTACTTCCCCTTACATCCAGTGGGGAGAGGGAGGGCTAATGTTTACTCATTAGACATGAGAAAACTCATTTCCTAAAATCCACTTCCTCACATGCAAGTATGAGAGCCCAAGCCGAGTGACCCTAACCCATCCTCCTTAAGAGACAATCTACCCCCACTTCAACAGACGGACCTCGTTATGGGGAACATGCCCAGTACCCCCTGGGTCTGGGAAGATGCGCCACCAGCAATTACTTTTTAAATAAGCATGGTGCTTAGCTCTTTATGTTTAAAACCTCATTTAATTCTTATCACAGACCTGTAAGAAAGGCACTGTTCTCCATCTATAAATAAACAGCCTCAGAATGGTTAAGAAATCATTTTCCCAATGTCATTTAGTCAGTAAGAAGAGCTGGATTCAGATACCAAGTGTGTTGTAAAGATTAAATAATACAACATATGTAAATTATCTAGCAAGGTGAGAGTATTTAGTTTGCACTGAACAAAGATTACACCACTTCTGTGAACTGGTGTCCCAACAGTTGTATTGGAAGAAGGGTCTGCTTGCATAAAACTGGGAGATTCAAGACTTGCCATTTTAAATTCATGCTGGAAACTACCTCAAGTGGGTATTGGAATCTCACACTTATTGTCATCTTCTATTAACGAAAAGCAAGTGATTTTCAGATTTTGGCCTGTGAGGGGTGGTTGTATAAAGACGACAGGTTCAGATCCATCATTACCTCACAAAGGTGTGGTACTTCTTAAAATGTTAACACTTTCGTTCTGTCTTCACTAGAGATGATTCGTATTGTGGAAGAATTTTGGCATATTAATATGGAAGAGTATTTATATATTTTGTTGCCACTAAAATATAAAATTATATATTTTGTTGTTTAGTTCAGCTTTGTAAAGTTTGGGAATAATTTTACTTCAACATGGTTGCAGTTTAGGTTTACTAGTGCTGAAGATACCCACTAGAAGGCGCTACTGGTCTCATGTTTGTTTCTATTTATTTATTTTTTTTTTTCAACCTTGGAAATAGTTAACTTTATATTTTTATTTTTTGTTTTTTTCCTTTTTAATATATTTTATTGATTATGCCATTACAGTTGTCCCATTCCCCCCTTCATTCCCTTCCACCCTGCACACCCCTCTCCCACCATTTCCCCCCTCTAGTTTATGTCCCTGTGTCACAAGTTCTTTAGATTCTATATTTCCCATACTATTCTTACCCTTCCTCCCTATCTATTTTCTACCTACCACCTATGCTACTTATTTTCTGTACCTTCTCCCTGCTTCTCCTTCTCCCACTCCCCTGTTGCTAACCCTCCATGTGATCTTCATTTCTATGGTGCTGCTTCTTATCTAGCTGTCCTCTTCATTTTTGTTTTAGGTGTGGTTGTTAATAACTGTGAGTTTGCTGTCCTTCCACTGTTCATATTTTTATCTTCTTCTTTTTTAGATAAGTCCCTTTAACATTTCATATAATAAGGGCTTGGTGATGATGAACTCCTTGAATTTGACCTTATTTGAGAAGCACTTTGTCCTTTCATTCTAAAAGAAAGCTTTGCTGGATAGAGCAATCTTGGTTGTAGGTCTTTGGATTTCATGACTTGGAATACTTCTTTCCAGCCCCTTCTTGCCTGTAAGGTCTCTTTTGAGAAATCTGCTGACAGTCTGATGGGAACTCCTTTGTAGGTGACTGTCCCCTTAGCTCTTGCTGCTTCTAGAATTCTCTCCTTCATTTTAATCTTGGCTAATGTAATTATGGTGTGCCTTAGTGTGTTCCTTCTTGGGTCCAACTTCTTTGAGACTCTCTGAGCTTCCTGGATTTCCTGGAAGTCTATTGCCTTTGCCAGATTGGGGAAGTTCTCTTTTATTATTTGTTCAAATAAGTTTTCCACTTGTTGTTCTTCCTCTTCCCCTTCTGGCACCCCTATAATTCGGATGTTGGAACGTTTAAAGATGTCCTGGAGGTTCCTAAGCCTCTCATGTTTTTGAATTCTTGTTTCTTCCTTCTTTTCTGTTTGGTCATTTTTTTCTTCCTTCTGGTCCACTTGATTGATTTGAGTCTCAGTTTCCATCTCATCACTATTGTTTCCCTGTACATTTTGCTTAATTTCACTTAGTGAAGCCTTCATTTATTCCTCTAATTTGTGACTAAAATCAACCAGTTCTGTGAGCATCCTGATCACCAGTGTTTTGAACTGTGCATCTGACAGGTTGGCTATCTCTTGGTCACTTAGAATTATTGGCTTTGGGGCTTTGAGCTGTTTTTCTTGAGCCATAATGTTTTGGTCTGTTCACGCCTATAATGTATGAGAGGCTGAGCCTTAGATGTTCACCAGGGCAGGGCAACCCACTGGCTGGGTTGTGACGCTGTATGTGGGGGCGGGGTCAGAAAGGGGAAATGGCATTTGTTCTGCTCTCTCTCGGCTTTCGGTCCCCTCGGTCCCCTCTGCTGCTTCCCGAAAGCAAACCAGGCCCCCGTGGTGCCAGCTCCAGGGTGTATGGGCCTGTGCCCCCTCCAGGACCCTGTGGGTCTCTCCAACAAACTCTCTGTGAGCCTGGGAGCTTCTCCCAGCACCTTGACCCCGAAAGGGTTTCCAGTTGGTGTTTTTAGGCTTTAATTTCCATTGCTGGGGCCCTAGCCTGCGTGGTCTGTCTCAATGCTCGCTCCTTCACCTGGTTTATCTGTGCACGAATGTGTGTGACAGTGGTCACCCAGCCACCTTGTGCCCTCACTGGGTCCACCCGTTGCCACCCCATGCCCGGGATCTGCCAACCGCTGCCTGTGCTCCTGGGTCAGTCCAGACACTTTTTCCTGTGTGACCCTGCTCCGCCAGCTGCTGACTCCGCCCCTCTTATTGATCTGGCTGAATGGTTCATTGTTGTCAGACTTCCATACAGTTCAATTTTCTGTCTGTTTTGGTTGCATTTTTGTTACTAAAACTTTGTTGTCTTTAAACTTGGTTGTATGAGGAGGCACAGTGTTTCCACCTATGCCTCCATCTTGTCCAGAAGCCTCTCATGTTTTTTTTATATATACCCCGCCCCACCCCAACCAAATCCTCTTGGAAAAAAATTTTTTTTTTACACTCTCACAGAACCAAAGAAAATGTGAATGTTTCACAGTTTTTCTAGCTGACTTATTATATACTGCAAGCTCACCCTACTTTTGATAATGAGCCAGATGGACTCATGCTGAGATTGAAGGGGGAAGAAGGTGGGAAGGCCTTCTTAGCTAGAAGGGAAAGACCTGTGTCAGCCCCACTGAGTTCCTCAAATGCAGTGTTTTTTATTAGTAAGGCATAGAGAGTCATTCCTGGTTCTGCTGGAACAGAAAGCACGCTGAAGGCATGCTGGGGGGGGGGGTGAACTGTCCTCACATTACTTCCTCACCAATAGAATTAGGTTCCAATATTCACCCACGAAAGTCAGGGCAGTATGTATTTCTTGACTTGTTATGAGGTTAAACATGATGTCACATGTAAAGCATTTAACATTGCCCTGGCACTGGCTAAATTCTCACTGAGTAGCTCTTATTTATTTATAATTATGTTTTTTGTTTACCATATTAAATGAAATAAAGAAACATATAATAGTAATCTGCCTGATTAAAAAAATTTCAAAAATTTTAAAACGGAAAAAAATTTAAGAGAATTAAACATGGGCATTTGCTGAGTGCTCACTATGTTCCAGAAGCTGTTCTCAGCATTTCCTTATTAGCCCATTTAAAATGTCAAAATAAGCCTGTGGAGTTGGCATTACCCTCACTGAACAGACCAGGAGGCTAAGTAAGACCAAGGTGGGTGACACTCAGTGGGTGAGCCAGAATGTTGAGTCTGAGGAACTCAGACTCTGTTGCTCACAAATTTAACCCAGAATCTGAATGTGCATAAAGCTTTACAGAGACCAGCTTGAATGGATACATTAACTGTGGTACATCCATGCAATAACTATTACTCAGCAATGAAAAGGACAGGCTACTGATGGATTCAACAACATGAATGAATCTCCAAAGGCTTATGCTAAATGAAAGAAACCAGATTCAAAGGCTACAATTAAACTAATCATATTTGTATAACATTCTGGAAAAGGCAACATTACAAAGATAAAAAACAAGTTAGTGATTTCCAGGGGCTGGGGGTGGGGTGGTGCTGACTACAAAGAGGCATAAGGGAACTTTTGGGGGTAATGGAAATGTTCTAGTTTCCATCACCATATTCATGGAATATGAATAAGGCTACACAGCTATATGCTTTTGACAAAATTCATTGAACTGTAAACATAAACCAGATGGATTTTACTGTATGTCTATTACAACCTGACTTCTAAAAAGAGAGATCAACTAAAACACAAATTGAATATTAATACTTGCACATTTTTGGAAAAAAAGAGAAGAAATATATAAGAAAGTAGAAGAAGAAGAGCATAAAGAATTAAAGGTAGGGGGAGGGCAAAGATTAAGAATATGTGAGATACAATATTGAAGAAAGTTCTCAAAGACCAAAGGGTAAAAAAATACAAAATGAACTAAATTGGTAGGAAAAGGGTTAGAGACAACAGTGAACCCAGTTAGCATAAATAAGAATCACCAGAGCGGAAACACAGAGTTCAAGGACAATTCTAGTGACTCTCAATCATTCCCTCATTCATTCATTCAGTCAGTCAGTTAGTGGGTCTGAGATGTGTCCAGAAATCTGCATTTTAAATACAACCCAGGTGAAATCACTTTGAGATGCAGTGAGCAAACACTTTTAAAAAAACTAAATAAATACAAAAATGACTGGAAAGTGAAAGTAAAAGCACAAAGACCAAACCTGAGAATTCATGGCCATAAAGCTAGGTTCTCTCAAAGAAATAGAAGCCTAAGCTTCTTGGTTACCTGGAGTTCCCTGCAGGGATTCCCGGGTGTGAGATGTGAAAGGGGGAAGGGGAAACAGGGCGGGCTGTCCTTACCAAAGGGGAGCACTGCTCCTCTGTGGGAGACCACAGCTGCCTCCCCAGCTCCTTCCCCTCTGGCAGACCGAGGCTTCGGACACACAGAACAGCCCTGCCTCCCTAAGCCTTTGCCAACCCCCTGCTAGCTCCGCCCCTCCCTGAGCCCCCGCTGTTAAGCTCAGATTCCATCCTCAGCCCCGTCTTCTCTCACTTGGTACTATTTCAAGTAAACTTGATCTCTTCCTGCAGCCACAGGGCCCTGTCTCAGTTCTGGGTCTCAGTTGGGTTCACAGGGATGTTGCCCTGGGCCGGCACACTTCTGGCTCCCAGACCGGCTCCCGACAGCTTCAGCTCTCCTTCCCTAACCGGGGAAGGCCGTGCTCTGCACTCCCTTTCAACCTCTGCTTCTCCCTTCCGCGTCAAAGCCCTAGGTAATGGTTTCCTGTCTTGGTTCCAACCCATTTGCCTTTGCACCCCCCCACACTGAGCACCGTTCTTGTTACAAAGTTCTGAAAAAAGTTATGAATAAAACTAATTTAAACTACAGTTGGGTATCACTGTAAAAAGGAGTGCTTTTAATGGCTGGCTTAGCTGCAGAGACTAGCTCTTTCAATACTTTTTCTTTTAAGATGAGTTACACACTCATATGTCAAGATGAGCTATATAATTTATGCAAAATGAAAATGTGGAGTCCCTGTCCAAAAATAAGGAAGAAAGAGCCACTGAACGGTGCTAAAATGTGACGGCATTGAACTAAAGCAAGCATGCAGCCCTTCTGACCACAGAGTCCCTGTCCCTGGAGCTGCTCAGCCCTTGGTCTGCCCCCTTTGTCACTGACCACTCCTTCCGATCTCCTCCGCGGGCTGTTGTTCTTTGCCTGTGACCTCACTTTTTGTTTTCTGTTATCTTTGCCTGTGTGACCTGATCCAGGCATGGCTTCCAGACTCCTCCTATCTCTGAGCTGCAGGTGGTCCTGTGCCGCGGTCAAGTCACTGTGCACATGGACATGTAACAGGCATCTCAGAAGTAACTGGAACAGAGCCCCCCTCCCACGTCCATGTTCCCACCCATCTTCCTCCTCCTCTGTGATTTCCCCACCTCAGTAAACGTTGTCTGGGCCTAAAACATGAACTGGGTTTTTCTCCTTCCTCTTAACCTCACACTCAAACAAAGCAAAAGAAAATCCTTTCAGCTTTGTGTCTAAGCTGAACCACAAACCTGATCTGTTCTCAGGAACTTCACAACCACCGGAGTCTGATCTTTTCTTTCTTGTACCACAGAGACAGACTCCCAAATTCCCTTCTCCCCTCCTTTTCTTCTCTTGCTCTTCTCAATCCGTTTACTTCGTGACAACCAAAGGGGTCTTTTCCATGACAGGAATAAAGAGCCTATAACTCACACACATAAATTCCACGCGACCGGCTGCTCTGCCCCTGACCTCCCTGACCTGTTGGATCCCAGCTGTTCTCCTCACTGCCACCCACCCTGGGCCTTCAGGGCCTTCACCCCGCATGCTCCTTCTGCACGGAGTGCTCTTCCTCCACCACGTGGCTCTCCTGCAGTCATTTGCAGTGCTGTGCTGCCTTCTCATCCTCACTCAGGTCTTGGCTTAAATGCCACCCCCCAGAGACCGTTCGCCTGAACACCAAAGTTCAAGTAGCCTCCTCCTGAGCACCAGCGGCCCCCTATCTTGTTACCCTGTTTCTTCATGGCACTGTCGAAAATTATCTTAGTTATTCTTTTTTTTTAAAATTTTTTATTTATTTATCTTTAGAGGGGAAGGGAAGGAGAGAGGGAGAGAAACATCAATGTACGGTTGCTTTTTGTGCGTCCCCTGCAGGGAACCGGCCTGCAACCCCGGTATGTGCCCTGACTGGGAATCGAACCGCGATCGTCTGGTTTGCAGGCCCGCACTCAATCCACTGAGCTACACCAGCCAGGGCTTAGTTATTCTTTATATGTTTACTTCACACAAAGACACAACACAAATAATAATAGTAATTTACGAGTCTTGTTCCCACCTGAATTCTGAGCACCTAAAGCTTCCCTGGGGGTATGTGTACTGCCTGACTAGAGTGAACGTGCCTCCCCATGTTTATGAAGGCCTGATCATATTCAAATGCTCATTTTATCGCTCTCTTGTTACATATCCTCTTTTTCTTTCAGGTTGTTTGGGCAGATAGTTACAAAGTTGGCTGCGCAGTACAATATTGTCCTAAAGTTTCTGGCTTTGAAGGTTTTTCCAGTGTAGCACATTTTATATGCAACTACGGACCAGGGTAAGTGTCCAAACCAACCTCTTTCTAAAAAAAAATTTAAGTTCTATTTTACAAGTATTTATCTTCATTGCAGAAAGTCTAAATAAAGACAAAAAAGAAAATTAATATTAGTCTTAACTCCCCTGACTACAAACCTACTTTGTTAACATTCTGGTACATTTTTCTGTGTGTTTGTATGTGTGTGCACAGCCTTTATAAATATTACATAAATACATGCACACACTTCTAACAGTAGCAAGACTAAATGTTTTCTGGGACATAGATCAATTGGATATGGTAATAAAACCACAAAATGGGAAAACTGGCATTACTTTATATTTATTGGTTTATTAAAAGCTTTGCAACTTTTGTACAACTGTCAAAGAACTGAATTGAATTTCTCAATTTATGTAACTTATTTATTTTTTACAAGTTTGCTTTTAAATAGGTGCAATTTGTCTCCTGTTGGAAAATGGGGAAGTTACATGACCTCTCCCTCACCTTCCTATAAACTTCTTTGTATATGTTGCTTATACATCACACACATATTTAGAAAACTGAGATCATAGTGGAAGTACGTGTTCTCTGTTTCTTACTTAAAATTATACCATGAGCATTTTCCAGGTCATTATATCAGTGATAAGAAACGAGAGAGATGATGCTTGTACAATGCTTATCATGTGCTAAGCACTGCGCCGACTGCCTCACACATATTAACTTATCCAATCTTCACGGGAGCCTGTGAGGTGGCTCCTGTTACTGCCCAGTTAGGCAGAGAGGGAAACCGCTGGCTGAGCAGGCTGCCCGCACCCCCTCAGCCGGTCAGTGTGGTGACTGGACTACGCAGTCTGGTTCCGGCATCTGTGTTCTTCACCATCACAGGGCAGCTCATCCTACTGAAGGAAACATCCTACAGATACTTCCCTGTATTTTGTTTTTAATATATGACGAACAATCTTGTGAATCGAAGTACCCGCTGGGCTAAAGCCAGCCCATGCTGAACAATCTTGAACTAAGTGTTTGGTCACATCTACTTCCCTACAATTCTTAGAAATAGTATATTAAGTAAAGGACATACTCACATTTAACTTTTTAAAAAATACATAGTGTCAAATTATCTTCCACTGTTAACAATATAAATTGACATAACAGTGGAAGATAATTGTGTGTGTGAGAGATTTGTCTGGAAAATATCCAGCTAGGTACTATATGGACTATGAAAAGTAGAGGCATTTTCTGAAGATACAAGATACAAGAAACACTGTACATAGGACCGTGATGTCTCGGTCCCCTTCAAAATAGGTACCCTGTGACTGCACACAGCTCTCCCAGTTGACATCAGCTGCCCTGTCATATTTTCCTGAATCTCATCAACAATCTGAAATCTCTTCCCTTTCAAAAGTGATTTTAGTTTTGGGGAAAGCTGGAAGTCACAGGACACTAAATCTGGGCTGTAGGAGGCTGAGTCATCTGGGTGATTTGATGTTTTACCAAAAAACTGCAGGAGATGTGATGCATGAGCAGGCGTGTTGTTGTGATGAAGCTGCCAATCACCAGTTGCCCGTAGCTGCGGCCTTCTGAATCATGTAACTAGTTTCCATGGAGGAATGTTCAAGCTTAATACAAAGTTGGATGCAGATTCATTGCTCTACTCACTCAGTCATTTTGAATGTAACAGCCACACAGTCCACATGCTCATTCAGTGGCATCCACCACCTCCACTGACTAGTATGGCGAAGTCATCATTGTTCACACATACCCATTCCGGTACACGCTCCTTGGTTGTTAGGATACATCAATGTCATGCAAACCATTCTCGTTATATTAACAGTGGCTGAACTTTTTCAGACAGTCTGTCTGTCTATCTATCTATCTATGAACATACAGGATCCATCAGAAGCAAGGCCTGCTTGCATGCAGTTGGTAGAATAATAATATGGGTGTAATAACTTATAATTTTATTTTGAACACTTCACCTAAAATGTCATATGCTATGCTTGAGTGCGATATTGCTATGTTACAGAATTACATGCTTATGATTTTGTCATAAGATTTTGTGATAAAAGAGGGGGCGTTATTTGTGCTGGACTCTATGTGTGTGCACACATATGTCTTAATGGTTAAGATACAGGTTCTTGAGCCCTTCATTCACTTATTGTGTGAGTATGTAAGCTTGGACAAATTACAAAACCTCTCTGAATTTGTTTTCTTTCTAAAAGATCAGTATCAATTAACTATGAAAATTACATGAGAAACAAGTATATGCAATGCCTGAAAACAGTGATTAAGAAATATTCATAATTATTATTCCTATAATAATGAGGTATAGATGTGAATTCTCTTGGTTTAGACTCACTTCACTTGCCTTTACAGTTATAAACAATATTAAGTTATAAAGCTTATAACCAGTTATAATGCTTCTATCAAGATAAACATTCATTTAATCATATAAATCCACTCATACATTCGGTTACACAACAAATATACTTATTTATTGATCTTCAAAAAAGAACAAGCCAAACAAACTCCCTGCCCCTGAGAAACTTATACTTATGGGGCAGATAGGCAGTAAAAATACAAATAAGGTAACTGCATTATGATAGGAACAATGAAAGAAATATGAATAATGGGACCCCTACTTACGCTAAGATGCTCAGGGAAGAGCTTTGAGACATATGTAGGCTGAGGCGTGAAGACTGTGCAGGGACTAGTCATGTAATAACTTCAGGAACAGATGGTCTGGTGGAGAAAACAATTGTGGGGAGGGTTAAAGAACAGAGACCAGGGTGCTCAGGCAGCTGAATGAGATGCAACTGGAAACACATGGCGCAGCTCTTGCAGGTCCTGGTAAGCCACGGCAAATTTAACTTTCTGCACATCACAAGAGAAGTCATGCAACTATTTTAAGTGAGGGAGAGATGGTACCTGCTTCAAATGTGGAGACTTTTCTGCGTGGGGTGTGGGGGATAGGCTGGAGAGCGTGCGGGAGTGAGGAAGCTGGGGAGTTCTCACTTCCTTCTGCTTTCTGAGATGGCTTGTTTCTTCTATGAACAAAACGTCATAGACCCCCATTCCACATTATTCTAACAAGTCCAACATCCTCCCCAATACTTGAGATTTCCTCACAGTGGGGTGTGGTGCGCTTACTTCTCCAGTCAGCTGTACTCCAGCAGCTCCAGAGTCACACCGTCAGCTGGTTTCAATAGCCCGGGACAGTTTTGGCCCTTCTCCTCCCGATAGCTTCCAGTCTGTCTGATCCACATCATCCCAAACACAGGCGCAGCTGTCTGTCTCCGGGGCCCTACGGAGCGAGGCTATGCTGTCTTCATTCAGTGGACTAGTGGACACAGAAGAGAAAATGACACTATCAAATAGCACAGCACCTAGTAGACTGTGGCCACCACTGCCCTGGGGACCCTTACTCATACTAATAATCTTTGTCATTAAAGATACATATTTCTTTTCCAGAAGCCCAGGGCCCCAACCCTTCATCTCTCAGGCCGCCAGGGAAACAGAAAAACTTCCTGCTTCTTTACTGGGCAGAACACTCCAAGTCCCTTTTTCTCAATCATTCCCACCTAGAAAAACCCAGGCCTTCCCAGGAGCATGTTTCTCCCGAGATGAATCCTGCCATTTCCCTCGAATTTAAAACTGTCTCATTTTTAGTTTGTTTTTGATGTAGCAATTTTTCCCTGTTTATAGTTTGAAATGCATGATTAGAGAAAGAATGAAGTATCATAAGTGGTTTTACTAAAAATATTCTAGAACTTAACCACTTAATGAGTATTGTGCTTTTTAACAATAAAAGATTTTCTCATGATTAATGGCCATTTTGGACACCTTTATAACTGTTATCAGAATCTCTACTGCATTCCTTTGACTATTTGCCAGAGTGCAAAGTTAGCGTAAGGGTAAATTTAATTTCCAAAACAACCTAAATTAATTTGGAGCCAAACAAGATTAGAACATACATTTTTGGGTTGGAAATGAAATGTTCATAGATAATTTCTAAAAAGGGTGTTAACTTTGGAGGCAAACATATGGTATTAGGGGAGGGAAGTCAATGTACCTGGACTAGAAAAAAGTAACATCTTTATTTTCACTAACCTCTACTGAAAGTAACATTTCATAATGAATGAACACTCCAGTCTTTTTAGCAACACCTGTGATTGCATATTGGCAATATATCTTTGTAAATATCACAGATATTTTCATATCACATTCTAGTTACTATAATCTTAAAAGTTATAATCACTATAAATTAATGTGATTAGACTACCTGCTTGATCTTGTCTAATATTTAATAGAGAAGCACACATTACTATATCAGAAATATTTTTACCATTTTGACTTTCAATTTAGTTGGTTTCCTTTATTATTATATGAACTTTATTTCATGCATTAAAAACAAACTCTTCTCAGAAAGCATCCATAGGTCCCACCTATGGATACCAAGGCATAACAAGTTAAGAACACCTTTCCAATAGCAGAGTTCCTAAAAGGATTCGTGTAGCCGCACAGCTCTTCCCTGCTACTCTGACGGCATTCATGGGATACAAAATGTTTGGATATTATTTCCTGTCCTAGTCCCTAGTCTGTAACACTGGTGAAGTACTCACACTTGGTACCTCAGCCTCCAGCTATATATAATGGGGATGAATAATTGTATCTTCCTCATAGGGATGAGAGGATTAATTCATTAACACTTACAACAGAGTGCTAGCCCATAAGGAATACTCAGTAATTATTATTCATGTTGCATCTCTTATGTAAAAAACAAATTCCATCATATCTCCAATTCTCTTTCGTGAGGTACTTTTCTAGCCAAAAGGCTCCCATCAATAAAACCACGGTGGCTCGTTGACTGAGAGTAAAGGCGGGTCACGATACCTTTTCTAAGGTGGACAGTGGTTTGGACGGCAGCAATCGCATGGGCCAGGCGCCGAGGGGAGGGAAGCCCTGCCCTGGAGCCAGACCAATCTAGTTTCCTTCTGACTCTGACATATAGTGTGATACATATTGTAGTTTTGGGTAGATTACTTAATCTTTAGACCTTTAGTTTACTTATCAATTAAAGAGAAATAAAAGTCTTCCTCTCAGAGTTGTCTTAAGAATTAAATGAGATGATGTAGATTAAGACAGGTTCACAGACTAGGGATGTGGAATAAACTTAAAATATTAACAGGCTTCCATTTCTGCTTCCCTCTCTCCACTTTTTAGCAACCCTCTGAATCTGTGGGTGTCCATCCTACAGACTCAGTGAAGGATCCATAGTAAACTGCAACTGCAACAAACAAACAAACAAACAAACAAAACGATCACCTCTCCTAATGGATTTTTCTTCTGCTTTATAGAGGCAATTACCCCACGTGGCCATATAAAAAAGGATCCACTTGCAGCGCCTGCCCCCAGAATGACCAGTGTGTGGACAACATGTGCAGTAAGTAAAAGAAACAATCTAGGAATAATACAATGTGTTTGAAACTCTTACTTTCTACAGCTGAGAATGCAAACATTTGTTTTATCCCAATTGCTATTTTCAGGGAAGCTTGTAGCAGGTCACAATCACACCAGTGGCTTATTGTCTTAGGAATGAATATGTTTAAGATAAATTTAAGGAAGCAAGTAATATCCTTCCTATGTAGCTGTAGTTAGTACAACAAAAAATTACTATGGTGTTGGAAACCACAGACCCAGGATTTGCTAATTTTGGCAAGACCCAAAATTTGTATAATAAAGATATCCAAAAGAATGGGATTCTGAATTTTGTAATACTACTTGTCCAAGGCACTCAAGGCTTGCATTTTCACCTGTAGAAGTAAATAAATAAAGCTGTAATGTAGCACTTTTTAAATTAGCAAAACAGCATTTAATGAAAAACAAATGTAGAAAGACAATGAAGGTAACTTCAAGGATGTTTTACTAAATGTCTTAGCAAAATTCTGATTTGTAATTTTGAAATAATAATCCATAATTGGCCAAGAGTTGATTTATGGTTCCTCTTCCATAAACATTCTTCTTCATCCCAGTATGTTTTTAAATTTCCCCCGTGGTATGAAGAAAGGGAACCTCAGTTAAGCTACCAGTTGTACCAATCCTGCAGTGCTTTTGAGTCCACGTCTGTAGCCAGCGGAACCTCTGGAGACGGGGTGGGGTTCTTAGAGCACAGGCAGGACACGGTGGGCTGAGTTTAACTGTTTGGCAAAAGTGACCCACTGTTCACAGTGGTAAGGTCTCCTCAGGGTCTAAAAGGATCCCTTTCTCCCAGTGGAAACACTTACCTCTCATCTCCAAGAACAGTAGCACTTTATGACCCGCTCTCTGAGCCGGTCATTTCTCCCCAGTTCGACCACTCTCTCTCTCTCTCTTTTTTTTTAAGATTTTATTTATTTCTTTAGAGGGGAAGGGAAGGAGAGAGGGAGAGAAACATCAAAGTATGGTTGCCTTTCGTGCATCCCCTGCTGGGAACTGGCCTGCAGGGAACCAGCCTGCAACCCAGACATGTGCCCTGACTGGGGATCGATACCACTCTTCATTTCACTCGCATCAGTTTTAAGAGAACTTGGTGAAGTGTAGTCCTCGTGAACAAATCTCATTTCAGAGCACCAATATATTAACTGAAATTTCCCTTCCATGTTGATGCAGCACTAGAAAGCGTGTTACCGTTATTATTATTTACGAGTTAGACAGTCTTACCCAGGAGTTAGGACTGGATTTTAGGAACCACATGCCGAGGCTTCCAGTCAAGATGGCCATGTAGGGAAAATGCTGTCCTCACCTCCTCCCACAAGCACATCAAAATTACAACTGAACTGCAAGAACCACCACCACTGAGAACTGCCCGAGGTCTAGCTGAACAGAAGACTTCTATATGTAACTCTCTTCTGTATAACTAAGGGTATACAGAAGGAGGCACCATCAAAACTGGTAAGAGGGATGGAGACACAGAGCCAGCTGGTCCCACCCCCGTGTATGGTTAAAATCGGCTGCAGAGGACCCCCATGGAGAGCCAGGGGTCCCAGCCCCCCACCCTAACTTCTGGCTGTGAAAACCAGTGGAGACTGTGGCTGAGTGAGATGGCAGGCTCCTGGAGTCCCAGGTGCCCCTCTGAAAGGGCCTGTATAGACTTGGACTCATTCACTCTGACATCCAGCCCTGAACCAGCTGCTCAAATGGTGTCCAGGTCACACAGGCAGGAGTTGTGTGGCTTCAGAACGGGGCCTGGGGGCGGGACAGCTTTCTCCCAGACTGAAGGGCTGGCTCTTCTGAACCAGACTCTGGTTCCTTTGCCTAGCACTCCCCCTGCAGGCACAAGCAGGCACTGCATCTGAGTTTCCATCAACCTGGCTAACACTGTTCTCCCCTCCCTGGTGTTTCCCTGAGACTCCAACCCACCAACTTTTGGGCCCACCCAAGCCACTTCCAGTGGTGTTTCTATACAAATGGTCTGTCCCGGCTCATGCTTTGGACTTTCCCAAAATTTCAAAAGTTCACAAACCCAAACAACATCTGGGCTCAGCATGCTCCATACCTCTTGCTAAATGTTCTCAGGCTGGGCACTAGCAGCAGCTGTGGCTCACAGCTTACCCTCTCCCAGGCACCTTCAAGACAAGCACATCCATCTGTACCTCGTACCAGGTGACCGCTGACAGGGCACAGGCAGCGGCTGATCATGACCTGCGCCTCCCAAGAGGCTCCAGAACCAACACCTCTGGTGGCCAGCTTCAGACCACACCAGAGCACCAGCCAACTATTCAGTAAATTCACAAATGACATGCTTAAAGGGCAGCCTCTCCAGGCAACAGAGCCCTGCTAAAGCGAATCCTGCTCTGTGGGGTCAACCCCTGCACACGAGCTCTTACCCTGCAGTGTGCCCAGTCCTCATAAAAAATCAGCATGAGGGTCAATCCCTCCCACTGATGAGCCAACAGCAATCGAAGCTCAACTGCAACGGGAGGGTATGCACGACCCACACAAGGGACACAGCTAGAGAACCCGACTCAGGTGACCAGGGAGACCGCACCACTGGGCCCCACAGGACGCCTCCTACAAAGGGCCACTCTACCATGACCGGGGGCAGCAGCAGCTCCACCTAATACATAGAAACACACACAGGGAGTCAGCCAAAATGCAGAGACAAAGAAATGTGGTCCAAATGAAAGCTGTCTGGACCTATTTCCTCAACAATATAAATGATATACCTTTTCACAGGCTGGGTGAAACAACTGAAACACACACACACACACACACACACACACACACACACACACACACACAAAACAGGGACCTGGCATACAGTAGCACTCAATAAATATTTTTTATTATCCCAAAATTTGTCCTCCCTAATAATCCCAAACGTTAAATTTACTCTTGGTGTTTTGGCTGTTTTTTTATGTCCAAACATTTAGGCGATTTTCTTATGCTCATGAACAATTCTCTTTAAACTCAGTGATTCAAACTGAGACAATTATTTTAAATTATTTAAAGAGTGTTTTAATTGTTGCCATTGGTTAGTTGTCTGTCCTTCCCACTCAGCTCCTAAGTTCCAAACAGGTAAGAATTAGGCCTACTTCCCCTTTGTAGCCAAGGTACCTGTTCTGACTAGCAAGTAAGCACTAATAAAGTACATGTTTCCTGGGAAAACAAAAACTTTTTTAAAAAGGGCTAGCTGATTAGTAACAACACAAAAACAGTAAGATTGCTGGAGTTTTGTTTTAGCTTTCGATGTAGGACATCCAGCTTGAGGTGGACTCTAATCTTGTGGAATACAATTCAGAAAACAAAGACTCTAGTCCAACAATAAAAAGGCTCTGGGTTCTTAAGAAAGATGAAGAGGAAACACATGCTAACTTCCATGGACGTAAGAATTAGAGGATAAAAGTTTTATTCAGAGTCCAGCTCTGACAAATCATGGCAAACACTGGGGGAAAAACTCCTCTGTGGTCTCCTAGATGCTGCTGGCAGGTTCAACAGATCCCCATAGAGGCCAGTCAGGGCGGTTTTGTGAAATGTGCTGGGCGTACTGGATGGTACACGAGAAGGTTTTAGCTAGTGCATGGGTGTATTTGTCTCAACAGTCAAGCTGACATTTACCATTTACACTATGTATGTAAGGAAAAGTGGCACATCACATTCTTGATTTTGTGGATATAATTGCCCAGAAAAGTTAAAGGAGCAGCAGCTTCGCAGTGACGGACGACAGAAAAAGCCCGGAGACAAGTATGATGATGAGGGGTGCTCGCGGTGCCCGGAGGGACAGCTCCTTGTTGGTTCCAGCACAGGAATCCGACAGCGGCTGGAGTGGAACCGGCTTGCAAAATATGTCTAATAAAGTCTCAAGAAGGCTAAGGCAGATGTGGGGTTCTCTTTCCCGTGCTCTGAAGGCCACATTCTGAATACAGCTCAGTGGAAGGAGAGGAGGGATTATGCCTTTATGACCGCCACACACCCTGTCCATAATTTGATGACATACTGGAATGGATGAGATGCTACTGTCTCCATTACTCACTGATCCTTCTATGGGAGGAACTTATTTTCAGAAAAGATATTTTAATAAATTGTTCACACTGAATATTACTAATATTTAAGTTTTTATTTTAAAATTTCAATGCTTCAATTTTTATTTTAATTATATTCACTATGCTAGAAATGGCATATAAAATGATTTACCATTGATAGTAGTGGTATAAAAATATTTATAATTTATATAAAAAGTTGCTTTAAAAATATCTAGTACAGTTAATAAAATCTTTAAAAATTAACCTCTGAAAATCACTGCAATAAAGTCAAAGTAACAGTTAATGGTTATAATTAGAAACTTGTATTTAAAAAAAAAAAGCCTTATCAGTACCTACTAATTTTTTTTCTCTCTGACTTTATAGTTAACCCACAGCGAGACAAAGTCACACGTATGTATATAAATCTTGTTTCATTAAGGTCTTTGTGAATTATGTTACTGCATTATGAGAAACAGTGTTTAAGATGTTGTATGTTTGCTCCATAGGTTACTACTCTACTGTGTATCCAGACTGGCCCATATACTCGCGTAATAGATACTTATCTCTCTTTCTTATTGTCAGTCCACCAATACTAATACTGAGTGCTATTATTACCATTTTGGTCAAGCACAAATAGCCTCATTTAGTTTTTTGGGACTAATACAACTACAAAGTTAAGTTTACAAACTCATTACATATATCTTTTAAAAATTACATTTGGGTGTATTTCTAATTTTAAAACATTCCAGGAAAAACACCCACATTGCTGCAGTAAAGCCATAACCCAAAGCAGCAGCTGTGCCACATCCTAACTCTGCAGGATAAACTCATGTCTGCTCCCCACTCTTCCACGGACAAGCACTGTTTTCAGGCTGCCACAGCTGTGCCTTTCAGTAATGCAAAATGAGCCAGCTGGATTCAGGTGATTCTAAGTCCGTCCACCGGCCTTCAGTAGTAAAACATTTCCACATAACTTGTTGCATGCTGACTCAACTCCAAATATCTGGTTTTACCCACTTGTAATTTGATGTCTTTCTGGATTACCACTTCCCCAAACTTAGAACTCAGTGGTAATTAAGGGATTTGACTTACTAAGCCTTGCTTGTTTTGCTTATGGGTTAATGTTAGAAAACATAAAATGAGATTACAAAAAGGCATAACCCTAAATATCTGTTATCAATAGATAGAGCAGTAAGAAATCTGCATTTATTTTCCTCAAAACCAAATACTGGGACATAGCTGTATTTAAAGACTAACCAACTGGCATCATTTGATTTGATGGATAATTACAACAGCCACATTTTCAAATCTTCACACACAACCTAAGGAAGTGCTCCTAAAATCACGCAAGGCCAGGCCTGCCTGTAGCACAGCAGGTGCGGTGTATAGACACAGACACACCACTCTGCACTGTAGTTTTTCAGAAAATGCATGGAGAATATCCTACTTTGTTTATAGAGAACAGCTGTATATATAAATGCTCATAAAGAACAAAACTCAGAAAAAATTAACCAGAGTATTACTTCCTTATACATAAAGCACCTAATGCCCTGGTATCTCAAAGTCCTTTACAAAAGGAGATAACTTTGTTAGCTCTAGTTCAGTGTTTTTGTATTATTTTCCTTTTTGTCTGCTTCCATTTTAAGCTTAACTTCACCTGTAAGAGCTCCCAGTATTTGTTGTTTTTTTTGTATGTGTGTGAAACTATCTGTTTGTGTCTGTCTATATTGTGCATGTATATCTACCTCCAGAAATTTAATAAAAGAATTTATATAAAAAGCTCTGTTTAATTGGTTTAAAGAAATTGTTTATATAAACTTCCCAAATGCTTTTCAGGTTCACATAGTCTGAGGAATTATTTAATAATAAAGTTAATTTAACTTTGTTGGTTTAATTAAAAGACATGTCTGTAGAGTTAGCAATATTTAATATTTTTTACTTTATCTGGATTTACAAAAATATGTTTAGTTATCTCTGTTAGTGTTAAAAATTCTAAATGATGTAGAAGAAATTGATGTGTTTTTAATAAAAGATGGGACAAGGTATGGAGATACGTTTCCACTGACAAAAGTCAAAATAATTTTGTCTTGGTTATTTCGGAATGCAGAGAGAGAATTTTGACTCTTAGAATTATACTGGCTAAAATTAAATCATTATAATGGCTTTTTAAAATTAAGCTTTATCATCAATGCTATGCTTATGTAAAGCTAAAACTTTTTATTTTTTAAGTATGTTTTATTGTTATGCTATTACACTGTTCCCAAATTTCCCTTTATCCCCCCTCTGCCCTGCACCCCCAACCCTCCAGCATTCCTCCCCACTTAGTCCACATCCATGGGTCGTACATAGTTCTGAGTCCTCTGTTGCCTATACTATTTTTTCTCTCTCCCCGTCTATTTCATGCCTACCAATTCTTATTCCCTTTACCTTCCCCCCCCCACTCCTCCCTTCCCCCCTCTCCACTGAAATCCCTCCATGTGATCTCCATTTCTCTGGATTCTTTTCCTGTTTTGGTTGTTTGCTTAGTTTTTGTTTTCATTTTTACGTTCATTTATTGATAGTTGTGAGTTTGTTGTCATTTTACGGTTCATATTTATGATCTTTCTTTTCTTAGATAAGTCCCTTTAACATTTCATATAATAAGGGCTTGGTGATGATGAACTTCTTGAATTTTGACTTATCTGAGAGGCACTTTATCTGCCCTTCCATTCTAAATGAAAGCTTTGCTGGATAGAGAAACCTTGGTTGTAGGTCCTTGCCTTTATGACTTCTAATACTTCTTTCCAGCCCCTTCTTGCCTCAAAGGTTTCTTTTGAGAAATCAGCTGACATCTTATGGGCACTCCTTTATAGGTAACTCTTTCCTTTCCTCTTGCTTCTTTTAGGATTCTCTCCTTTCTTTAATCTTGGGTAACTTAATGATGATGTGCCTTGGTGTGTTCCTCTGGATCCAACTTCTTTGGGACCCTGTGGGCTTCCCAGCAGTCTATTTCCTTCTCCAGTCTGGGGAAGTTTTCCTTCATTATTTGTTCAAACATATTTTTATATTCACACATCTAAAACAACCTGAAACGTTCCAATATCTGAATTAGAGGGGTGCCAGAAGGAGGAGAACAACACATGCCTGTGGAGGAGGGCCAGACAGGGAACAGTTCAGCTCCCTTGCTCATCTCTAATGCACTTTTCAACAGACTCTCTTGTGAGACTGGGAGCTTCTTCTACCGGGGCAACTGCCGTAGCCCACAGCCACCTCTAGCCCCCTTAAGTCAGCCCCACCTGTGCAGCCCGAAACCTCACCACAGCCAGCCCCGCCCCCAGGGTCTGCAGTGCAGCTGCAGTTTTTCTGAGTTGGCTCGAGCAGTCTGCTGCCTTACCAGTCTGGTTGTTCTGATTGATTTTTTCTTTAACTCTTTGGTTGTTGGAGTTCCATGCAATTTGATTTTTTGGCGCTTCTGCTTGTTTATTGATTTTAGATGGGTTGTTCTCCTCCTTTTGGTTGTGCGAGAAAGAAGAGTTTTTAACTATGCCTCCACCTTGGCGGGAGCTCCTCTGGAAAGTTCTGTAAGCGCTCCCAGTTTGCTATTCTTTGCTTTCTTAATCTTCCCTTGCTAGGAACCACATCAATTTTAGTTTCAGTAGAGCCAGACAATTTAAAAATATAATACATTTAATTCTTTAGATTTCACCGAATAAAACATAAAGAATATGTATTGAAGACAATAATTTTAGAATAGTACTATAATGGGGAGGTTACATTATAAAATACACAACACCTGTCATCTGCCTAAAGGAAAGTTGGAAATTTAAGAGAAAAAAGTCATAAAAATACATTAATGAAAATGGCATTATAGTTTAGTCATTTGAACAAATTACTGGGTTCAACTGTATTAAAACTACATTTTTTCCCCTTATATCATACTGGAAATGAGGTTATTTTTACTTGTATTTTTCTCAGTTATAGAACTTTAGAGTGCTTATCAATATGCCAATTTTCCATCTCGCATATTAAAATAATTTAAAATTTAATTTCACAAGGAATATTACATGTAGTCTCTTCAGCTTCATTATTTTTAGTTAACTAATCTTAAAGTTATAAGTCAAAATCTACTTCACTTAATATCATATAAAATCTTAAAGTTTTCCAAATATTAGTTCACTGAATGACTATAATAATTTGCAAGTATGTCCTTGTAACTAAACTCAACCTTCTCATCAATGCCAAAAACTTGAACAAAATAGAGAAAAAAGCAGCAAAAACAATGCAACTTTATTCTATCATTTAAAGAACAGTATTCAAAGCATTAAAGAATCACAAGACAAAACATCATACAAACTACTCAGCAACCTGAGAAGCAGAGAGTTAACACCTCCACTGTAGTGGAATAGCTACAGTTTTAATCCTAATAAACTGAGATTAAACTACCTTCAAAGTACATGACTGACAAATTGTACAAACTAGAAATATAATACAACGACATTTTAAGCTTTTACTTACCCAATGATTTCCCTAGTAAAATATACTACAGAGTAAGGCAAAAGTAGGTTTATAGTTGTGAGTACACAAAACAGTTTATTCTTGTATTATTTATTATTGACTGTATTATTTTCCATATGAATAGCTGTACACCTACTTTTGACCCACCCTGTATTTTTACCGAGGTACACTGACTTAACGTAAGACACTATGTCAAATAGTCGTGCTATATCTGGCTGTAACCAAAAGGTCATGGGCAATGCTGCCAGTGACACCCTCCCCTCATGAAGCCACTGGCCACTTTGCAGAGTTGCTTTAGGAATAAAAAGCACAATGTTACTAGATGGAAAGAACATGCAAAGAGGAGAGGATGAGTGAAATGAAACCAGGAACAGAAGAGAAGGCACGAGTGTTTCCTCTAAGCATCGGTCTAATAGCCCCTAAATAAACCCTGCCACACTTTGTTGGTGTCCCTTAGCCCGAGGTGACGGATATCCACGTTAACAATGCAGGATCAAACTTTAAGCCACAGATCACAGTAAGAGCAGAAAGTACAACTTCTGATAAGCTCTTTCTGAAAGACAAGGTGGCAGAGCTCTCGGATCTCAGGGCTTTACTTTGATCTTTACAGAGTCACTGCACTGTTTACCTTTCAAAACAAAAGGTCCTTCCCACACACCCAGAGGTCAGGAGAGGGCTAGCAGTCTGGGATGCTCTTAACGGAGGCATTGGCTGCTACTGTCCTGTAAGTTACCTCAGTTGTCTCTTGTCTGTAGGACTAGTGATTAATGAAATGCTATTTCAGTTAACTGAAGATAAGGTTATTTCTTAACACTGAAAGAAATTTAGATAAATTCACGGAGAGTTTACTTTTAATGTAACAGACTTTACCATCACACCAAGAATTGGAAAACAAGCTTACCTTCCTTAGGCTTCACCACTGGTTTTTCTTTAGGTGGAATAAAAGGTTTGCTTCTCTTGTCTCTTAGTGAGAGCTTCTGCCTGTTTAGCCTACATTATTAAAATACATGAGTAAAACACAATTTAAGTGAGAATTCAAGTTTCTGTGAACTTAGCAATTAACGTTGTAAGCTAGACAGTCTTACCTTTACTGCTCCCCTTTTCTGCCGCTTCTTTTGACTTGCCTTCAGAAAGTATTCACCAGTAGCCAATTCTTTATCGATCTGTTGAAATCAGTATTTACAATTATATCAGACATAGTGTAGATAACCGTCATTTCCTAAGAAAGGAATATCCATGAGGTAAAAACCAGGGGGCCAAAAACCTATGATTAATTCACTAAGGGAGTGAGAAAGAAGGAAGGGAACATACTCTAAGCTGAAGGGAAAACCTGCACAAAAGCACGGGGGTAGGAAAGTAGGCGATGTGTCTGCTGAATACACACAGGCTTTTTGTGGCGGAAGGTCGATGACTCAGAAAAGTGTAACAGGAAACTGGAAAACGTTTTCAGGAAGCTTGAAGTGAGGTGAAGGAGGTGGGACATGATCAAGAAGTGAGTGAAGTTTCTGAGAAGAGTAAAGGGATCAAAGCAGCATTTCCTAAGGTACAGACAAATGAAGAGATGAAAGCCTTACATAAAATTAGTAACATGCAAAATGAAAAACAAGAATTATCAGGATTTGGTGACTAATGAACACTAACTAGAGAAAGCTATAGCTCATTCATTCACTATACAGTTGACTGATAATTTATCTATCTTGCACATACACAGCATTATTATACCTAAGACAATGTTCTAAATTCTTTACTGGTGTAAGCTCTTTATAATTACTAATTCACTTAATCCTCATTAGTAATTCTTTGAGACAGATGTTATCATTATCCCCATTTTATGTATGGGGAAACTGAGGCATGCATGGATCAAATTATTAGCAAACAGGGAGTAGAATACATCAATTGAGACATCACTGTTTAAGAAGCATACAGTTGTCAGGGAGAAAGACAAGATGATCACTGACCCCAGACAGATCACTGACCCCAGGACAGGCCGTAAGAAGCAGAGCAGGTGCCGTGGAAGCGTGGTTTAGTAACTGGGTCCTTCCCCTTTCCCCCAACCACCACTTCCTTCCTGTCTTCACATCCTTCCCTTTCCAGAGGAGAGCTCAGGATCCAGCACCTCTGCTGTTTTTTCATCATCATTCTTTTCCCTTTGACCTTTCATCAAGCCTTCCCCGAACAACTTCAACCACTAGGGCAGTGGAAAAGACAGAACCCAGAAATGGCTCACGTGCTCAGCACAAAGAAAGACCTAGCAGAAAGGAGGGTTTCCAAGGGAGGGAACAATTCCGCGAGACCCCTCAGGAGACAGGTGGAGACAGAACTAAAAGAGCAGGTAAAGAAAGGATACAGATGGGAAACATGGAGGTGAGAGAAGAGGACGTTGGAAGAATTCTTGCCCGATGGTCTCAAATATTTCAGTAAAATAAAATTCAATGTCCCCTGCTAGGAGTGGGAGATGCCAAAATTCTGAGGACCTATCAGAAGCTGGAAACATAAATTTGTAGTGGGAAGAACCCAAAGGTATGACTTTTCCCACCCATGTTTGGCAACCACATTATGGAAAAGATGTCACTGTAGGGCTGATCCGAGTTTAAGAGGAACAGAAGGAAAAGGGAGCAGGAAGGAAAACGATGAGCAAGACGGAAAAGGAAATTCTGGAATGGAAATGAATCCAGAAGACACTGGGTGAAATGAGAGGCATCCATAACTTGGAAAAAGGGTAATATTAGAATTTAAGATTAATATTAGAATTTAAGATTTCAAAACTGGAGCAGTCACATAGCTCATGGCCACAGTACTGAAGATAAAGCAGAACAGAGAGCATTTTGGGCTAAATCGTTGAATTTTTTAGTGGCTACAGGGACCTAAGTGACACCGACCACCTTGACAGAGTTTACACTAACAATGTAAAGCCCCCGCCCCTGTGCAAGTTGCTCAAAATAAGCCTATTTACACTTACGTTCAGTTTTCTTGTCTCTACATACTCGAACACACACAAACACACAGCAATTCCACCTAAAACACTCTCAATGAAGTTTCTGACAAAATGGATTATAACAGTCCCCCCTCATGTAATGAAATTCAACATGCAACACTGACCTGACTTTCTGGCTGTGGTGGTGGGAATGGTGTATATTCTTTTTTAACAGTTTTTTTTCTTTGGTTCCTTGCACTTGTTTATATTTTTGTGCTTGAACTGTGGCAAAAATCTTTCCCAACTTTGTGATCTTAATTCAGAATCTTTTGCCAATTCTCTTTTAATCATTAAGGTCTTTAGCCATGCCATATAAGAACAATGTAAAAATTTTAATTCGAAAAGTCATACATTTGTCGAACTAAGACATTATAAATATTGTTCTTATAAATCATTCTTAGCCTGTTCGAGCAGGAGTGTCCAATCCGGGGCCTGCAGGTGGCATCTGGCCCAGGATGGCTGTGAATGTGGCCCAACACAGAATTGTAAATTTACTTAAAACATTATGAGATTTTTCTTTATTTTCATTAGTGTTTGTGTATATAATGTGTGGCCCAAGACAACTCTTCTTTTTCCAGTGTGGCCTAGAGATGCCAAAAGATCAGTCACTCCTGGAAGCTATGTAACAAAACCCTGTAATCTCAAACCTGCATGATTGACCAGGCATCAGAAAACCATGAGAAAGTTAGATTAAGAAATTCAGAATTGTTTAAAAAAATGAAAAAGACTAATTCAGCTTTTCAACCATTATTTCTTTAAACCTTAAAATTCAACGAACAAGGGGAGCTCTTCCTAACACTGCCGGCAAGCAGGAAACTTTCAGTAGCACCTAAAATATCACAGGGGTAAAAGGGCAAACTTTCTCATGATCAGACGAAACCAATATCCTCACATTTTCTCCACTCTGTTTGACTTTTATCAGGCATCAGGCAGATGATTAGCTCTCTTTATATTTAATACCCTGATGTACCTCCAAAATGGTTTTTTCACACTGATCTAATAGAGACTTTTTAACTTCATCAAATTTAAGTGGACTGCTCAACAAGTACCCATCATATAACAGCTTATTATACTGTGGTTATGTTTCCATGAACTTTTACATACAGGGATATAACAGATCTCTCTCAAAAGACTAACACTACAAAATTTGAGTGTTAAATTCTAAATTAAAAAAAAAAGTTTTAATGCGATCTGAAATATTCCAGGCTTTATTTAGTGGAAAATGGCAGAATTCTGAAAGATCTCATCTTTAAATCTAATACATGGGGTCACAATCTAAGAAAACAGAATCAGTATCATCTATGATAAATTCTGTGGTGCCCTCTTTGTACCAGAACTATGTAATACACAGTGTTCCTGTCAATCCCAGCTTCCAAGGAGGTAACTACAGGACTTGGGTGGAGTTGAGTGGGCTGAACTCTACCTCTAATTTACCCAAAATAGCTAAGTTTTGTCTATTAGAAACTATTAAACTTTCATAAAAAGTTTAATTTCAAGAAAGGTTCTGTAGCTAAAAGAAGTGTGACAACCACTGTTATAGCAATATATAATTAACTCTCACTATAATATTATAAATTGGATGAATATTCTTCACAGTATCTAGGACTACTTTTCAAACCTTAAATTTGCAAAGAAAAGTGAATTGGTCACTTAAAAAGACTTTAATGAATGAGGTAGGAGGGTTGTACTATACTGAGAAATATCCAGCCAATGACTGCCAAATTGAAATACCAGTTCCTTCAACTGCTTTTAGTGGCTGTTAGATCTTTTATGTAATAGTCAACCTCCCTGGGGTACAAGGCATTATTCAGTTGTCCTGCTAAAATGTGACATATGGAACTAGTACAGCACTGTGATTTAGGGGGGGAAGAGGCTGGATTTAGACTCAGAAAATGTGGGCTCAAATAAGGAGACTGCCACTTTTTATGGAAAGTCATTTAATTTTCCTGTTCCAGCTTTTTCATTTAATGCAGAAATGAAAATACCTTAAGCACCTGTTATAAAAATTGAATAATATATTTACACTTTACAGAAGTATAAAGTTTCAGTTATTGCCCCATATGAAAGAGCAGGTAATTTATAAAATGAGGTCCAACAGAGTTCCATTAAAGGCAACAGAGTTCCTGAAGGGGAGACGCGAGATCCAGCTCTCACAGCCAGATCCAGCATCAAAAGGTGTTGACTGAAACAGTATTTGCTCCACACATATTCTATAACAAGTTACAAAAAGTTCATGAAAACATTAAATAAGCATTATAATAAATTCAAACACAAGAAAATGTGTCTTTAAGAAAAAGAAATTTTCAGAGTTTGGTCTCTACTATCTATATCCATTCCTGCAAATAACAAGGTCTGTTTAATTCCCTAGTATTTGCGCACAGGAGACTACATCATGTTTTTCATAGGTGCTACGGACTGAACTTAAATACCCATTTAAAATTTGCAGGGACAGGAGTGATCGTATGCAGACCTTCTTAGTGAGAATCAGATGCCTCTACAGTTGTCAAAGGTCGGCCATGATACGTTAGGGACCAGGAGTAACAACTCCCTTAAATTCCAGGAAGCACAGAGCATTTCCTAATGGGTAATCAAACAAAGCACAATCGAAAAAAAATACAATAATCATAAAACAATATAACAATTATTTAATTTGCTCTCTGCTGAAAATTAACTAAAGATAATAAGTAGTTCTAACCTGTTTTAAGCTTCTAAAGGGCCCAGTGGCTGAAACCGTGTTTCCCTGAACCATAATGTAACAGTCTGTTAAAAGTTCCAGCGCCTATATATCAAAAGAACAGTAAGTTGAGATTCAGTTGAAATATACTGGCAAACAAATGACGGAGGAAGACACTCAAGTTTTCTACTGATAAAAAGAACCTTCAATGTAGATCCTTTGGATAAGCCATTGTCTTCTTTTTATAAATCTTTCTTTCTGAAGAACCTATTTTAACAGTCACATGCAACATCATCCTGAAGAATTCACACTGCCTTTTGAAAAAGCAAATAAAATACTCCAAAAATACCAATACATTTCCTTTCAAAGATCACAGTGATATCTAAGCAGAATAATGAAAACTCTATGAAGGGAAGCAGGGAGGGTAAGGGAGGCAGGGATGAATGGATGAAGTGTTATATCTTGTCACAAATAAAGCCAAATCTCTGCAATCACAGATTTACCTGTTCAAATGAAGTACTCCTTGCTAACAGTTTATTTATTAGGTCTCTGGCCCTAATGATGATGTACGGACCAAAGGTCTTCTTTGTTGTGCAGACCGTCATGCTGCCCTCGATCAAGTCCAGGGTTGCGTTAACGTGCTACGAAAAGGAAAGTGCAAACAAGCAGCTGTCTAAAAATGCACTTAATCTTAGATAACTACAGAGCCTTTCCTAATCTAACTATTAATTACTGTGGGTTAAGCTCTCTCTAAAATTATATCAGGTCCCCCCCAAAGAAGCTGGATAGTTAATATAAAGAATGCTTGAGGGTGGGGGGAGAAAAAAAAAAAAAGAATGCTTGATTATTTTCATCCTTCAAGAATATAGAAAGTTGAGCAATTAAAACCACTTATACTTACTTGCTTTTAGAATACTTTACACTTATTGAAATAAAGATTATTTCTAGTTTAAAAATTATATATCCAAATAAAGCCATACTTAAGACCTGAGGTAAAGACATAAAGCTGTATGTCCTCCCTATCCCAGACCCAGCTCTGATCCACCATCTGCTACTTAGGGTGACAGTGGACTCCCCTTTACAACTTTTCTCAAGTCAGTTTGAATTAGCTAAATATAAACAAAGTAATAACATATTATGATGGGTTCCTAAATAAGCAATAATTGGTAAATTATACATCAACCCTCAGAAGAAAAAAAACAGATTTCAATAAAGCAAATATTTTTGGACACATGAGCATATTCTGAAGAATAGCTTGATGAACTATTCGACATAAGGCTGGGGTCTCTGTTGAGTTTTAAAAAAAGAGAGAGAGAGTGAATGTGAGATCACGCACACCCTGCCTGGTGTAACTCAATTGGTTGGAGCGTCTTCCCATAACCAAAAGGTTGCATGCAGATTCGATCCCCAGTCCGGGCACATACCTAGGTAGCAATTTCAATCCCTGGTCTGAGTGCATAAAACCCCAGTCCAGGCACATACTGGAAGCAACCAATTGATGTTTCTCTCTCACACTGATCACTGATGTTTCTCTCTTTCCTCTCCTCTCTCTAGAAACAATAAAAAAATGTTTTCAGGTGAGGATTTAAAAAGAGAGAAAGAGAGAAAATCCAACCCCAGGTGCAGATAGCTGTAAAACACTGCTTACAATTTGCCAGCCACCCTCATATCCAAAGGGCACAAAGGACTCCAGAGCAGTCCCTCAGTTTGAGATATATATATATATATATATATATATATATATATATATATATATATTTAAAGATTTTATGTATTCATTTTTAGAGAGGGGAAGGGAAGAAGAAAGAGAAGGAGAGGGACATCAATGTGTGGTTGTCTCTTTCAGGCTCCCAACTGGGGACCTGGCCTACAACCCAGGCATGTGCCCTGACTGGGAATCAAACTGGCAACCCTTTGGTTCACAGGCCGGTGCTCAATCCACTGAGTTACACCAGCCAGGGCAAAAAATATATTTTATATCACAGCCTAGTATCCATATACATACATATAGAAATGAACCAAAGCTTCATAAGGCAATCCTTACCACATGATACATTCACTTTTAAAAGATTCATTATATCCATTAAATTGCCTTCTGAATTCACTAATGGATTTCAACACACAGTTTGAAAACAAAAGCAGATATTCTGCCCTGACCAGTGTGGCTCAGCTGACTGGGAGTCATCCCACAAAGCAAAAAGTCTCCAGTTCAACTCTGGTCAGGGCACATGCCTGACTTTTAGTTTTGGTCCTTGGTCACAGCACCCACAAGAGGCAACCACACATCGATGTTTCTCTCCCTCTCTTTATCCCTCCCTTTCTGTCTCTCTAAAAATAAATATCACGTAAAAAAACAAAAACAAACACACTGCTCTTGGGGCATGGCAGCAGCAACAAACAGGGAAGTTGGCACATCCACAGCTTTCATTTAAAAAGAAATTTAAGCAACTCAACTCTATAGGTGCACGGCCACTACCACTGCACAGAGCAGGCATTCTGAATCTTGGAGTTCACAGATGAGTGTCAGACAGTCCAAGAAATCCCTACAATTTGAAAGGTATGTGAATTTTCAAAGTACACTATTACCCACAAAATTATAAACAACTGGATTAGAAGAATAAAGTTTATCTAGGCTGTTTAAAATACCAAAGGAACCAAAATAATCAATTATGCTAGCCAGTGCATTAAAAATAACCACCAGCACACACACAGTTACTTAATGGTATAAACAAGAGCAAAATCTCAAAGAAATATATAAAATATGCATACGTGTTCATTCAGTGCTTTCTGTGCCAATGGCCAGCACTCTTTCAAGTAAGTGTCTCTGTATTTTGGGAACAAAGTTGTGAAACTGCTCTTCTCCAAGAGTCCTCTGGGATTTTCCTCTTTGGAAAAAGCTGGTCCCTTCCCATCATCAGGGACAGCAAGGAGTTCTTATTCATCTACAGGAAAAAAATGTACACATCAGATTTTAACCTACTTTTGGACATTTATATGCATGCATTTACAAGCTTCCAATACTCTCCTTGCATTTCCTCTTCCTATGCTTTTTAGATTAGTCAACAGACAATAGGCCTCAATCATTATCATCAACACACTGTATTAAAACTACTTGGTCACATTTCAGTTGTTTCAAAAACAAAGTTCAATAAGGGCATGGACCCCCCCGCCCTCAGATCCACACTAAGTAGCGCATGCCTCATTGTGAGTACTCAAGTAAAGTAACTTCCACCCCACTATACTACGCTGAATTAAAGATGTAAATACCATTTTGTTTACAAGACGATTTTAAATATAAGGGGCCTTTCAAATTTCACTGAAGTAAAGCCTGAGAGTGTGTGTGTATATATGCACATATACTTGCATGTGTGTGCACGTGCATACAAAGACGTTTATAGCAGCATTGTTTATAATAGCAAACGATGGAAACAAATGTCCACCAATGCAAATGTCCACCATTGGTAGAATAATATATAAATTAGCACACATTCATACAAGGGAACATCATATAGTAGTGAAAAGAATAAACTACAGCTTCAAGTACTGCCCTGATTAAACAGCAAAAACAAAGTTAAATCTAAGGAGCAAGACAGAGAACCATTCTTACACTCCTATCTTGTTCATATAAAATTCAAAAACAGGCAAAATTAAACAGCGTTGTGCATAGGTAGTAGAAATTACACAGAAAAAGAACAGCATGATCAACATGATTTTGAACGGTTACCGCATGTTTCAGAATGAAAAAGAGTATGATGATTGGAGAGGTGCTTGTAGGAAACTTCTGGGGTTCGGTAATGCTCTTCATTTTGCTCAATGGTCTGAGCGCTCCTTTCTCCTGTGTTTTTTTTTCTTTAAGTTGTATATATACTTTGCTATGTACGTTCACAATAAAACAACAAAACACCTTTAATAACTTTCTAATGCCTATAAGGATGAGAGTTCAAGGTTTTTAACATTTACAATAAGAACGGTTGCTGAGGCCTGCGGCTATTTCTCTAGCCTCTCTTCCCGTGATTCATATAGAAGAAAATGGATAAAAACAGCATAAAACAAAACAAGACAGCAATTTAAAGCGGGGCAGTCTGAATAGTAGGAATTGTGTCGTCTGACATTTTACCTATGTGACAAACAGGAATAATGACAAATGCTCCAAAATTTTCCCACGAATGCAGAAACTAGCATTCAGGACCTGCCAGACCATCTCCTCCTCGTCACTGAATCTGTCTTCCTCATTATCAGCGTTCACTCAAATACACAGCGACCTTCTCCTCCTACCGCATCTCTCATTAGCTCAGGATATCTAAGGACTTCCAGCCACTGCCGCGAGTCTTAACGCTCCCAACGCCTTCTGCAATACCTTAACCTTCATCATTGTCAAAAGACGAATTCCGCAACCCCTTCCCATTAGGGTACTTAAGCAAAAGCGATTAGTTAGGAACACGTGACCAACACCACATCCGCCGGACCGTTTCGCAGTCCGGGCCAATAACACTAAAAACCAGCTATTACAGCTACTCAACTTCAAACACCGTAAACTCAGACTTCGGTTCTCACACAACGTTACCCCGCTTCTCCAACTTCGGCTTCTCCTTACAAAATTCACTTTTCCCAGCTAAGTGTGGGGACCGGCTCTGTAAGGAGGACGCAACCTTCAAATCGCTTCCGGTGTTACCGGAAATGGAACGGTTCTTAAATCCTTCCGTCTAATGCTTCCGTACTCTAGATAACTTCTGCAGAACTCAGATGAGGAGACTTGAGCAGGGTGGGTGCAAGCGTATAAAGGAATCCGCGGATTTGCCCAAACTACAGCACTGTCGTTACGTCGCCAGTGGAGAGTCAGAGACTTCTTTTCCAGGATGCACTGCAACCAGGGAGTTTGCATGCTGGGAATTGTCATTTACCACAGTGGGAGGTGGGAGACAGGTTTTGTCCAGGCAGTCTGACCTAGTACCTCTGTTGCAAGAAGGGTTGAGTTTTCAGCCTCATAGCTTTTGCACTTGAGCGGCACCAGAAACCCTTCTCTGGCCAGGACCCACCCTGAAGATTTTGGACTTTCCAAGACTCCATAATCATGTGAATACAATATTTGTTGTTTCTCTGGAGAACACGGACTAATGTAGCAATTTATACTAGGGCACATTCATATGGCTGATAAACATCTCAGTCGCATTACTGTCAGAAAAGCATGTAGTTATAACAATACCAAGTTTCACCTATCATATTGGCAAAAAATAATAAAAATATTTTTTAATGATAATCTGCTGGAGGAAAGAGTTCTCTCATACGGGCTGGTGGGAATGTAAATTGTTACTGCCTTCTTGCAAAGCAATAAATCACTATAAAGTATATACATAGTTTTCCACAATATTTTCGTTCCTGGGAAACTGTCAACTAGAAACAAAACGCTGTTCTATTAGGGCACATGTATGAATGTTCTGGTTATTGTCTTGTGTAGAAGCAGTTCAGTGGTACCTTGGAGCCACACTAAGTAGTTTAGTATTTACTCATTGTATTTACAGGCTTGGTCAAATTTCTTACCCACCCTGGTTCAGTTTCCTAAAATGGAGAGAATAGTCTCAACTCTGGCTAAAAGTATAAAGTGCTAAAAAAAAAAAAAAAAAAAAGAAATTGCAGTGCATATGGAACACAATAGGTGTTAGATGTTTATTTCTAGTGGCAAAAAATAACATCTTGACTATTAATTAGACATATAGTTAAGTAAATTGATGTTACCTTCATGATTGTGAGATATTATGCAGCCATTCATAACAATTAATTAAATGTATGGAGAGATTACCCAGAGGCATTGAGTGATAAAAGCCAGATATGGAAAGATGGGATAATTATATACATAATTAGAGTTAAATAATTATATATGTATAATATAATTATCTAAACACAAAAAAAATCCCATTTTTATAAAGGGATTCAATTCATTCAATAAGTATTTATTGAACATCTATAATATTTCAGGCACTGTTCTAAATACTTGACCATGTTCTATGTTCTGGACACAGTATTAATTATATATAATTATTGTTTTCCTTTACACATTCCTAATGTGATATATATGAATATATGTGTATATTACACAATGAAAAATGATTTGGAAGGATATACATTAAGCTTTAAAGGCTGGATATCTTAGGGGTACAAGTGATTAGAAAAGAAAGAGAAAACAGTGAGAAAGACTCAGCACAGTAGGTATTCATGATAAAATATCAGGCTTATGACCCTGTTTATGTAAAACTGTGTGTGTGTGCCTGCATAGAGAGATCATAAAATGATGGTCATCATATGATGACCATCATAAAATGATGGTCAACACAATGTTGACTGCTACCTCTCAGTATAGAGACGTTTCAGAGGATGACAATTTAAATAACAGTACAGTCAAATCAATCACAATTTATATCATTTCATTTTAACATCCTTCAAAATCTGAATATGAATACTGTACCAGATCTGCAAGGTTATTCCAAGAAATTGCACAATTAACACTAAAAGGGGAAATAAAAATGGCCTTCTCTAAAGACTTTCTTGGCATAAATTTGACCCAGAAAGTTCTCTCCGGGTCACAGCGACAGCAGGCAGACCCATTTTGACTGTGATGTTTCCTCTCTGTGGCCTCTCAAGCTGTCTAGACCCACCTGCAGCCATCCTCCCTCAGATGTGTTTCACCGGCTCCTGCCCTGCTCATTCAGTTTCCCATGCAAAGCAAGTTTGCCTCACAAGTCTCCTTTGGACTTAGAGGCCTTAATTCCCACAAAATTAACCCAAAGGGTATGGGCAGAGAAGTCAGTATGTGGCTTAACACTGATGGGGGATGGAGTTAGGACATTCATTTAATGTTTATTAAAAAGAGCAGAAACACTAGGCAAATAAACATGGATTATTTTTCATTTAATATTTCTATAATCATTTACTGGAATAAAAATGATTTTTCCCAGTAATCTATTTTTAATAAGCAATCAAAAGAAGATTTTTCAAGTATATAGGGTTGAACATGTTTTAAATTTCTTACACACACAGCTGCTTTCTATTCCAGTCAACCTCAGAGAAGGGTTTAAAATCTTAAATCAGCATATATCTATCAACATCAATAACAGTAATTGCTGTGGTTGTAAAAATAAGGCCCTTATAATTCCAAGAGATTGCAAAATAAAATAGCAATCTAGTGACAGTAGTCAAGAAGCAACAACACAATAAAGCAGCCTCATTGTAGACTAATTATGTTAGTAACACATTTTTAGGAAAATACTGTCAACAAAAGTGAAGTGTTCTGCATGAAAGCCTAGGAAATCTGGAAATCTGGGCTACCATGTTTGAGAAACACATTCAGCCAGTCTTGGACTGTTTCCTGCTGTGTAGCACGACGTTCCATGTGTCATCACCATGGTGAGTGGCTGGGATGACATAGCCACATCTTCCTGCAAGGACACCCAGAGCAAACTTTCTGCAGGGGGAGATAGGGTGCATGGCTTTGGCTGCTGACCAGCTGTTTGACCTTGGGTAGGCAGCACTTAACCAGCCTGTCTGATCTGGAATTGTTACATGAGGGATTTGAGTTAGATTACTATTCCTCAAACTTTAGCCAACCTCAGGATCACAGGAGAGGTGGCTCTGTTCTCACTTTATAGTCAGTAGGTCTGGAGTAGGGCCCCAGGATTTGAGGTCCTGACAAAAAAGAACTATCCAACACAGAAATGTCGATACTTATTTCTGTGATTCTACTTCAGAGGGTCAGTAAGTGCTTCCATAAAGGCATTCCATAAAGGCAGAGTTATTTTCCATTCTTTTTAGTTACTTAGGGCAGAACTTGCCTGGGATCAAAAGCCAAAGTTTCCAGTTGGTTTCATTATTATGCTGGGCTCCACCATGGACAGTCCTGCTCAGTGTCCCTCACCTCTGCCTCTGTCATTCTGGAGTTCTGTTGTCTCATGCAACAGAACAATGCAACTGATACATGCAGTTGGTGCTTGGGGTCTGGAGACACTCATTACTGCTTGAATATTAGTCTCTCCAGGCTCCAGGCCTATGAGACATTAATGTAATATTTCATTGAGTTGAATCTAGTTTCTTCTGCTATTTCCTGTTGTCTCATGCAACAGAACAATGCAACTGATACATGCAGTTGGTGCTTGGGGTCTGGAGACACTCATTACTGCTTGAATATTAGTCTCTCCAGGCTCCAGGCCTATGAGACATTAATGTAATATTTCATTGAGTTGAATCTAGTTTCTTCTGCTATTTCCAGGGCAATCTTTCCTCTTTTTCTTCCTGATTGTTCCTATTGATAAACAGCAATTTCAGTTTAATTTTTAGTATTATATTCTTTTCCCAAAAGAGAAGCTGGAACACATGTGTGGTGTTAGGTTTCCCATAGCAACAGAAGGCTTTTTAGTGCATGCATGAATATCCCAGATTTACCAGTGGCATGTGAAATGTATTGATACTGCTGAGAATTATTATCTTGTTCAAATAGAACAAGCCAACTATGGTCTTTTATTTGTTTACATGACACTGGGGGAATAGTTGAGCTTTTCCAGAAAGCAGACTTCTAGTCATTTGTTAAATCTATATGCTTGGCCCATCCTTCAGGGAATAGCAACTGCAGGTGGCCTATGATGAAATGAACTTTTTAAATGCAGTATTTTAAACACATAATGTGTTTATATTTAAACAATTTATTTCATGATGTCACCGTTTCAAAATGGAGACATTGCTTATTCTCTGTTTCCAATTCTGTCATTAAAACGTCTAGCACCCGACACACAGAGAGTTGAAAACTCAGATGTAACCCCACACGTGTGCCTGGGCCACTCAGAAGTGATTTTTGACTCTTTTGGTTTATCAGTCGCTTTACTAATACGATGAACCCGATGGGCCCTTTCCCGAGAAGAGCACAGATATTCGGGTACACATAACATTTTACCCGCAATTTGATGAGATGTTCACACATCTGTCAGGCTCTTTCACAAAACCCTAGGGGGTCAAGCTAAGGACTCCTTCAAGCAGCACAGGGAAGTGTCTCATGCGCCTGGACCTGATCTTATGAGACTTGAGTCCTCTGTTCTTACAGTTCCCTCGGAGAGCAGAGGGGTTGGAGCGGCTCCTTCACCTCGACAAATAAAAACCTGCTTTTTGCAATGAGAATTTTGGTATGACTTAGTACTGCGTATAGGTATACTTCTCAAGATTCCTTTGACTACAAGTTATTGAAACTCAAAGTAACAAAAAAGTAACAAAATTTAGTCTACTGCGTAGCTGGGAGTTGGACCTGGGAGCTCAACAATGTCTAGGGACATTCAAGCTCTTTGTCAATGTCTCTCCTGCCACCCCCATCCATGGGTTGGCTCTGCTTTTCTGTGCTGTCTTCTGAAGCAAAGATGTCTACCGGCAGCTCCAGAATTAAATCCTCAGCAGAAGGAGTTTCTTCCTGAGAGTTCCACCAGAAGTCGCAGGAAGATTCTCAGAGACTAGTCGTGGAGGTGGGTCACACCCATCCACACCACGTGGACTGGGAGTGGGAGGAACGGTTCCGGAGGGAAAAGTGAGAGCTGCTCTCAGAGGAAGGGACCAGACGCAGGTGGGAGGGGCCCCAGCCCGGGATGTGCGGCGCAGTAAGCGCAGCAAGTCAGCCAAGGGATTAATGCATTTTCGTGTTCTGTCACTTCCGTGAACACTGTTTGTGTGGTGACCACACACATGCACACACAATCTTTAAACAAGATAAGTAGGCTTTAAATGTTTCATATATGTTCATACATTATACATTAATAAACTTGCATGTAATCACATAAGTATTTTATATTAGTTGTATATGTATAAAGTATATGAAAGAACCACATTATGGGATACATAGTCAAGCAAACTTATATACATGTATATGCTGTCTGTACTTGTACAGTTTGCTTTCTTTGTGGAATAGTTGTTTTGAAATATGTTCAGGTTAAGTCTTCATAATTCTTCATCCACGATATACGACTTTCTTCATCCATACTTTCTTCATCCATGATAAACAACTTTTGAAGTCTTTGTAAAGATACTGTCTTTCTCTCTCTTTCCGTCTCTCTCTCTCTCCCACTCCCCCCTCACTCTCACCCCTTCTCCCTCTCTCTGTGTCCCTTCCCCCCTCCTCTCTCTTGCACATAGGTAAGCATCTCTCTCAGCTGTCACCCTGGCGGAAGCCAGCTGCCAGGTCTTGAGCAACCCTTTGGAGCGGCCCACAGGGGAAGGAACCGAAGCCTCTTGCCATCAGCCTGCGAGAGAGCTTGGAAGTACGACCTCCACCCAGGCTTTCAGATGACCGCATTTCTGGCGGACTAACATCGAGTAGGACTCCTCAGGTCCAGCCTCCTGAGAGACCCTGGGCCAGAAGCATCCAGCTAAGCTGCCCACGAATTCCCATCCTCAGAAACTATACAAATGTTCATTGTTGCAAACTGATCATTTTTACACAGCAGATGTAAAACAACAATATCAAAGCAAGTCCAAGCATTTATCAAAGCATTTATCAGATTTTGATATGGGCATTGGAAATGAAACTTCTCAGAAAGAATTTTTCCCCTTGATTTTCACCACTAGAGGGCAAAATGGTCACAAAAGATAGTTTTAGTAAAGAATTGAAAGGCTTTCTATTTCCATGGAACTGCAGATGTCAGATATGCAAAAACCCTTGCAGAGCATGTGGTCCAGCTCTGTTAAGTTACAGATGAGGATTCTAACGCCCATAGACTTTAACTGCCTGGTGTGAGGTCACACAGACTGAGGACTAAATGCACACGCTCAGCTGCATTCAATAACATGCACATCCAGTAATCAATCCTGTTGTTCTTTTTAAAAAAAATTACTAGGTATAGCCCTGGCTGGTATAGCTCAGTGGATTGAGCTCAGGTCTGCGAACCAGAGGGTCGTGGTTCAATTCCCAGACAGGGCACATGCCTGGGTTGCAGGCTAGTTCCCAGCAGGGAACTCACGAGAGGCAACCATACATTGATATTTCTCTCCCCCTCTCCTTCCCTTCTTCTCTAAATATAAATAGATAAAATCTTTAAAAAAAGAAAAAATGACTAGATATAGAATAAAGAGAAAAGCCTTTTTAAAATTTGTATTTTAATTAACATATTAGTGTTCTCGTTTTTGATCTTACACTTATTTTTTATCTTATTTATTGGGTCTATTTTATGAAGCACTTACCATACATTATGTGCCATGTGTCTCTTCATTTAATCGGCAAAACAAACTTTTGAGACACACCCATCAATGCATGAGGGCCAGTATCTTGTCCAAGGACATATAGCTAGAGAGACTCAACATGGGTATGAATCTGATATAGGTTAAATGTCATTACAATGATACGGGGAGAACAATTCCATCTTTGACTTTATCAGAAGTTTGGTGCCCCTAGAAATCTTTCAATATATTAAGACACTTAAGTGATTGCCATATAACATTGGAAGAGAAATAAAAAAATAATTTGGCAACTCTCCTTTCACTGAGAGATGTTCCCTCTCTTTCTCTTCTTCTCTCTCTCTCTCTCTCTCTCACACACACACACTTTGTTTCTCCCCTTTGTTTGAACTGACCAGCTGCATGATCTTGGTTAACCTGCCTAGAGCTTCATTTTGTTTTTCCTTTTTTCATTTCTAGGATGAGAATACACCTACCTCCTTCGAACTCTCAACAGGGATGCTGTGATGGTCAATGAACAAGTCTTTATGAATCTACTGGATACTGCGGAACACAGGTGTTTTATAAAGTTGAAGAATCAATATAATGGTAATTAGTAATAATTTAGGAGAGATGGGCAGGTGTCTCGCAGTCGTGACTTGACTGGAGCTGTTGCCACACTAAAGGAATGAAGTGAAGCCAATATGTCAGCAGCATGGAGTTAGGAGCCGGGAGGGTGCGATCTTTGCTGCCTCATGCACTGCTTTGTTCATTACCCCTGCCTGTCACAGGCTGGTACATAGCGGCATCAGTCCCAAGGTGGTCAGGAAGGCAACGTTGAAACAACCACATTAGGCGACATGTAGTCTCCAAAGATGGTCACCACCATGCTCTTCCTCATTGTATATGCATGCCACTCCTCACACTAACAGACTGAACCTATTTCTCCTCTGCCTTGTGTCTGGACTGGCCCAGTGACTTACTTAGACCAAGTAAATATGAGTCTACTAAATCTGGTCAAAACTCTGAGAGGACTGGCGGCCTCTGCTTCCTTTCTCTTGGAAGAGAAAAGCATAAGAAGTGCAGTTACCCTGACGCTGCCTCACTGTGAGGGAGTGCAGACCGGCCATGTGGAGGGAGAGAGACATGCCCGGCCAACTCTGAGATGTTCCAGTCATCACAGCTGACGTTCTGGTCATGAGTCAGTAGAGAAGCGCTCGCTCATGTATTTCAGCTCCAGTAGACACCACGTGGAGAGAAAGATCTGTCGGATCAGACTGCAGAAACAGGAGAATTTTGTGCTGTTAACCCATGATGTTCTCAAGATGTTTGTTGCACAGCAATAGATATTCAAAATGCCTGTCAACATTTAAAATAGAGTCATTTAAAAGATCTCTTGGTGTCCTCTCATTGCTGAATGAAATAGAAGATTCCTTCAGAGAAATAAAATAAGAAAATAGTGTGGTAAACAGAGAGGGTAATTCCTTTTTTAGAGGATGCAGTTTTTTAGCTTCATAAAAGTCCTGCCAAAATAGAGCACTTATTCCTTCACTCACTTATTCATGCTTAATAAATACGGATTGAATTCATTTATTGTCTCTTGTACATTGGGCACAGTTCTAGGCATGGAATACATCACGCCAAGGAGACAGATAAGGTTCCTAATCTCATGGTGCTTGCATCCTGATTAGAGCAGACAAATAGCAACCACAACAAAAGGATTATATCAGCTAACAAAGCAATTGTGAGGGAGGAATGTGCTAAGCATTAGCATAGTCTTTCTAAGGGCCCCATCCCAAAGCATCAGCTGTAAACTAAAGGAAGGAAAACCCCCCCAAAATGTTCCCCCTGAGCTTGTAATACAGTTTAATCATGTGCGACTAATTATCAGTTTCTTGGTATGCATAAACCCTCGCAATTCCTGATGCAGGCAGGAACCTCCCCTTTGGGGCTTTGTGTCTGTAGCTTTGCGAACACGGCGCGGGGTCTCATAAGGAAGGATTTTCCTTCCACCTATGGACCGTGGGAGACGGGGGCGGGGCGATGCGCTAGCAGTGGCGCTATGCTGGCTCAGGCCACGTTCCCTAACACCGTCGGAGACGTGGCCGTTGCTGTGCTTAAAGAAAATGTTTGAATTAGGAAAGAAATAAGGAACCAGATATTTTATAGTCCTAAATTTCTGGAAGCTTCAGGTACTGATTTTCTCATGAATACATGCCATTTTTTTATTAAAAAATTCCAAGTGGAAAAACCACTCTTCTTTCACACACAGTATGTCACTCTGTGATATCATGAGTCTGCTGTCGTGATACATCTCTACCCTTTTAAACTTCCTTCCTTTGCTTCTTTATTTTCTCACACAATGTCTTTCTGATAGTACATGCTTAATAAATACTTGCTGAATGAGCAGAATTGGTTAAAGAGACCAGCATCTGCATTTGAATCTCAGCTCTGCGGTTTATTAGCAGTGTGACCTCAGTCAAGTTTCACATGCCAGGGCATGGTGGCTGCAACAGAAGATAAGCTGACCCCTCCCACCACTAACCAGTTCAGGCATTAGGGAGGGGTGTTAGTATTAAGAGGTGCACCTCATGCTGGAACAGGAAAAGGGAAGCAAGGCGCCTGTGAGCTTCCTGCTCTCCTTGCTCCAGCTGAACCCACTGGACTTGAGATGCCCCTGGTGGTCAGACTAGCACTGCACTTGGAACAGGGAACCCATAGAGCCCCACACCTTTGTCTTTGAGAGTCTCCAGGCATGGGCTCTCCTGTCCCCAGCGGGATTAAGCCGCAGGACCTGTAGAATCCAGAGGGCTGTAAGAGGTACCTCAAAAGTTTGCCCTGTCTTTCTCCTGTGTGCATTGCTTTGGTATGTCTAGTTTATTCCCGGCATCCTCTCATCAGGAATGGGGCAATGATATAAGCCTTTTTTCCAAAGGAGGTGGTGAGACTTAGGCCAGGTAATCTGTACCCAAACTCAAAGATGAGGGGCTCAATGCTTTGCCATTGGCTACTATAGACCCAGTCCTCGACTTCCACGGCTCCAAGCCTCTCTATACTCAGACAAAAGTCCAGAGCATGGAAGTGTGCTCCATGGCCTTGGGAGCCTAGGGGGACATGGACAAGCAGACAGTAGCATCCCTGAGCCTATGGGACTCAATTTTTCCACGCATGTTCTCACATTCAGGGGGGATGAAACGGAGAATTTCTCTGCTTTAACCTCCTCCATCCTGGAAGTGGTAATGGGGGTGCAGACGGGGATCGTCCTGTTTGCTTCCACCCCAATCTGTAGATTTCAGACCATAGGCTGTCTCATCTTCTGCCTGCCTGGGTGCAATCCCCATCAGGCAAAATCCTGGGGTCTGGGGGTCCCAAATCCCATCATCCTTGCATCTCCCCACTCCCCATGCTGTGGTCCCTGCTCATGCCCTGGGAGGACAAATGCTGGTGTCCCTAAGCAGAGCAGTCTCCATCTTCCTCTTTGGGTTTGTCACATGCCCAGGCTCCACTCCTCTGACCCCATGCCTTATGACCCCTCCTCTTATGTGAGTGCTTGTGTGTGGCTGTGTGTACCAGTGTGAGTCTTCAGTGGAAGATAACCCACAGGGGGTGGAGTGCACCGAGGACCTCATTTTCAAAGCTAATCATGTTGGCAGAGTTCAGCCTTGCCCTGGGTGGCCTATGCCCTTCATTCATCCAAGGATTCTGCCTCTGTGGGGCTTGACCTCTCCCCGCGTTTCCCAAAGCCTCAATTCACTAATTGTAAGTGCTGGGTTATACAAGGAACTGCTAAAAGCTGCCTCAAACTAGGAGGCCATCCAGGGTCTTAGCTCCCTGTGACTGGCATCGTGCGGGTGCCAGGAGCACCTACTGTTCTTCCTCAAAGTGTTGAGGTGCTCCAATGGCTCTGTGGGTCTTTAAACCTTGCAGCCCATGAAGGATTCTTTGCCTCACCTGTAAGTCAAGAACGGAAATGCAGTTCCCCACAGAGAAACTGTGGCCTGCTGATTACTGGAGGGTGACATGGATGTGAAGTGAATCAAAGCTCTGGGGCTTCAAATCCCTGGCCAACATCACCCATGGTGCACATCAAGTTGTGTCCCATGGCTGGAAAGTGACTCATCAGTGATTCACATAGTGAGTCAAGGCAGAGCTTTCCCTTAACGTTGGATTTTCTGACACAAAGCAGAAAATCCGGGATGATACAGGCACAGGCAAGAGGGTGAATCCTGCCGCTGTCCTGGGAGAGAACTACGGACGTGGGCAGTCCCTGCGGGGTGCTGACTGCCCTTCCTGTCAGGGGGCCATCGTCTGTCTTTCTGCCCAGCACTTACTAGCAGGCGTGCAACCACAGGCTGTGTCTTGGCACCTGATGGCTGCCAGAGGAGCCGCCTGAACCAGCGCTGCATTCCAGGTTATACATTTCAGGTCACGTGACTCCCATAATTTCCCAGCTCATCACTACATACGATTGCAAATATCATTGCTGGGTGGGTGCTGAGTTTGGAGAGCCTGCACTCCTTCACGTGATCACTCAGGAAACCAGAGTTCTCCCGCCCTGTGGCTCCTCCATCCGTAGAGCACCCACGCCTTCTGCATCTGTTAGCAGAGTGAGGAAACCATGGAAAATGTGTGAGGGAGGATTCCATGAGCTAGGTCTGCAATGGCACACATTTCTTTCCTCCTGTTTGGCGACAAACCACACTGTCCCATGGTCAAAAGGGTGGCTGGGAGAGGCAGTCCATCCTTGGGCCTTGAGAAAGAAAAGTCATTTTAATGGAGAGCTAAAATCCTCTGCCACAATGAATAAGTTACCTCATTCAGATTCATAGCACTGAAAATCAGCAATGAGTATTTACTGTATGCCAAGCACTGCACAAAGGGCTAAAGTGCAATTAAATTGAGCAGCAGTTGGCCTTGGAGAAGCACTGCACTGCAGATGATGGTGGGAAGTCCCTGGCAACCTGGGAGAAAACGATCGAGTGGAAGGGCTCTGGAAGTTCAGTGAGTGATTCTAGATTTGGAAGCAGCCTGAGATGACTGCAGGTTAAGTCATGTTCAAAGAAAAAGCGGATTTGGAGGCTGAAGGAAGATGGCAGCAGGAACCACGGAAGCAGGTCACTCACACACAAGACTTTCGAATGAACACTGTGCAGCAATGAAAAATGTATTTGGAGAAACCAATAGGAATGAGATTACTGCTTTTATGAAGTGAAAAGCTGACTGCAGATACAGGGTAATCTCATTTTTTGAAAAGTCTTTATGGATTTAATGGCATTATAGAGATATGTTCAACTGTAACTTCCAATTTTAAACATATTTTCCCATTGATATGATGAGGAGGATTTCATAAATATGATTTGGTTGCTATTCTAATACAGTTTTTACTGCAAACACACAATACAGTGTAGTATACAAGTTACTTCCCACACTTCCTTTTTTATTTGCTGTCATGGGACCCTGGGCCTGACTGAGGTGCCTGATGGACACCCTGAAATCCTGGGAGCTGGCCTCTGTGTTTTATAGTGAGAAATGCCAAGACAATGACGTGCACTGGAATACAGCCCATAATCATCGAATGTTATAGAATGTAATTCGATCAAAGCAAGCCTGGATTTCTTTGAGGAACCCCAGGACTGTTTTCCGTGGTGGCTGTAACAGTTTGTCTGTTTCCATAGTGGCTGTCACTCACCCACCAGCAGTGAGTGGAGGTTCCTTGTTTTGCCCACAACCTCTCCAGCACTTGTTGTTACTTCTCTTGTTGCGGATCCCATTCTAACAGGTGTGAGGCGGCAGCTCACTGT